GAAACACAGCAGCATTACGCTGCTATTTTACACTGGTATTCTGTGGGAGCGTGGTCCTTCCCCGGTCGGAAATGCTACTTTTACATGGATGTTTGTTTGATAAATAATCCATTTGTGCCGTTGGCGTCTACGCCTTCGTAAGAATCCTTAGAACTATTTTAGATATTCCAATTACGAAAACATGTATACATTATAATATGAATAATTAAGCTATTTATTTTCTAACGCATTCATAAGTTACAATACATCTCACATAATTGACAAGTAATTTTTCTATAATATTTTTGGTTTTGGAAGCTTATACCAATATAGAAAGATAGACGGAGCTCCGCGTACATTTCAAGTGATACCGAAACCATGCTGAACTTTTTTACGTACTCACGCAAACATCTTTCTTCTTTTTTTCTCTATCCGCTTGTAAAATTTTACTGCTGGACGCACACATTACACCTGAAACCAGGTTGTTGGTTGCAAATTATTATAGATGCATGAAAATACGTAAGTGCGTGTTCTTACAAAAAATTGAGCATGGTTTTGGCTTAGTTCGCAGCGTTCAGTTTTTATATGTTTGTATACGTTTGGAAGACAGCAATAGCAATTCAAATTTTTTTTTAGTTCCAACACTTAATATTAGCATTATATAAACTGTATAGTTTAGCACGAATGGGTCGGCTCGACCGGGCAGGGACCACGCTCTCACAGAATACCAGCGTAAAATAGCAGTTTAACACTGCTGTGTTTCATATGGTGAGTGTTGAGAACCACTTACCATCAGGTGGACTGTGTGCTCGTTTGTCACCCTATCCTATAAAAAATCAAAATGTTACAGTTATCTTATTAATTCTTATGCCGTTCATCACATTACAAAACCGCGCGGTCCGAGGGATTTCACAACTGGCAGTCGTTTTTAAAGAAACAATCTTTCTGCCTCAGGAATCCACCTCAATTGTGCCAACTATAACAGCGGAAGAAGATACAAGATAAACATAATATGAACTTTTCAATGTTGAATCACAGAAAAATAATGCAGATTGCATTTACATATATATTCTTTCTCGAAAACTTTTTGGGTTCCAAAACCGTAGTACGGTAATTACGGTTCTGAGTAAACTGTTCATGAGCTAAAAATTATATGATAATGTTAATACCTACTAATAATGTCAGAAGTAACTTTAACTGGTTATTTGGGTACTATTCATAGTTCAATTCATAAATTATATAGCAAAAGTTATAGCCTAGGTACGTCCCGTGCTGGGCATAGGCCTCTTTTCATTTCCGTGATAGTTACTTAAATGTTTCGAGGTTAGCCTTGCTATCCTAGCGTTCTCCGACACGCTTTACATTTCTTAGACTGAATACAAATACAATATAATCATCACGATAGCCCATCACAAGTGCACAATAAAACAATAAACACAGAGAAACATCCCACTAGGAATACCACATAACAGCGAGAGACTAGCTGCCACCTACATCCATCGACTTCTTGTATTTCTTACGAAGTCGTCACTCCACTTAGTGGGGGGCTCGATAATCAAGTAAAACCGCACTTTGACTTTTTATTGTTACATATATATTAATATCTCAGACATGCAGGTCTTTTCAATAATTTTTTTTATAGGATTGGGTGACAAACGAGCACACAGTCCACCTGATGGTAAGTGGTTGCTATGGCCCATAGACATCTACATCTATCCTCGATTGCGAATCAAAATGCATATGTGTTTTCACCCGTGAGGACTAAGATGGAATGCCTATTTTCCAGTAAAAAGGGTCTCCGGTTCTCTACATTCACCATATGAAACACAGCAGTGTTAAGCTGCTATTTTACTTTGGTATTCTGTGAGAGTATGGTCCTTCCCCGGTCGAGCCGACCCATACGTGCTACAACTATACTACTAATATAGATGCAGCACGGCTCTACCACGTATAAAATCTTTCTTCACCACAGGACTCGTAGAAAAGAAGATCTATCAAATGCTTACTGAGTGGTCTGAGTTAACACGGCATTAATTTGAATGATATATAATAAATGACGTTTAAATGATAATATAAAACAATTTTGAAAGGAAAAAGACTTTCTACTGATAATAACTTCGACGATTATGGCAGAGAAATCTCGACCATCTGTAACAGGGTATTACATTGCTGTGGTTTTATTGATATCGTAAGTCTGTTAGCAGTGAAACTGGAAATCTTAAATAAAATAAAGCAATTTTATTAGTTCGCATGGAATAAGGTATTTCTTTCTTTTAAAAAATAAATATATATATATATATATCTTTGCCCTAACGTGAATGATATGAAAATAATAAAACATATATTTTGTTTATATATCAACGGATATGTATTAAAAACGTCGTTATAGAATTCCTAGAAAATTAATATAATACCCAAAAATTTCATTTTAATTTTAATTTTTTATTTATCCTAGAAATTGTTTGTGAGAAGCAACTGTGACCTTCTTACTTTGCTGTTGTTGTAGTTGTCCATGATACTGCAAATCCCACTTACCATCAAATAGACCGCTATCTCGTTAATAACTCAAATATTAAAAATCCCGTAGCATTAGAGCATGGGTTAAATTCTCGATAACGGTACTGGTGTATTTGAATAACGACAGGCGGACCGTTAAATGTTAATTGTTTGACGATTTAGCTGGCCATATAGTCTTAACTAGTCTTATAATGACCACTTCATCAAATACGGAGCCAACTATTAATGAAAACTAAACCGTTATTTATATTTTAAGTATTACTATTTCATTTAGTTAAGTTACGACGTCGAGCGAAGTGAAAATGAAACGGAGCATTTGAAGTAAAACTTTTTTTTCTTGTTGAAAAATGTGTAAAAGTTATGCTAAGATTTGTCTCCTGTACCGTAAAGGTGTTTTACATACATAAATTGCACCATGTGCAAACATTCAGACCCGGAACAATAACTTGTAGGATGTGCAAATACTTTTTGAGCTGAACGATTTGAGCGAGATTCGAACCCGCGTCCCGGCAGAATTGGAATGAAACGTTTTCTGTCAACTCGCGCGATGAAGCGAACCTGCTACAAAAACACTAAAACACGTATGTACTTTCTATTTGTAAGAATAAAGTTGAAAACATTATACAAGTACAACAATAAATTTAAAAATAGGAAACTAAAATATAAAATGATTGTAAAGGATATTGTACCATTAAAAATATGTTAGGATATTTAATTATTAGGCTATTTATATAATCGCTATTCGCATCATTGAACAAAAGGTGGTCTTATAAAGTATTTGTCAAGGTCGCCTTAGTATCATGGGAAAAGGCAAAATCACTTTTCACAACAGGCAACTAACCCACGAGGGTATTATTGACAATAAAGCCCCCAAGTGAATTCATTGAATGCCCCATGCATTGTGAGTAATACGAGGTAATGAATAATGTGAAAAGGAACACGTAGAGCTACCAAATATGCACTAAATTTACACGACTAGCCAATTTGTGACTTTATCGACCCTTTCCGAATATTCTTCTTCTTTACCAAACCGTTAAGCCAGAAATACATGTTGGCCAAGCCTCAGCCAACGTCAGCGTAGGCAAATTGATACAAGGCGAATGCTAGTCTACATGTTGACCAAGTTTGAATGAGTGAACATACTGACATGGCCACATGGCCAACTAACATGTGGCCATGCGTTCCCGATTGCTGGCGAGCGCCTTTGATTTGTGCAGACAAACTGACACTGATCCGAAGTGAGACGAGTCGTGGCGAGCGATCCCGACTTGTGGCGAGGCTAGACAAATGGGCTGTCTATACGTTGGTACTCGCCTTCACTCGGCCAAGATGTATAGCCAGCTTAGTGGAAGAGGCCTATTGTATTATATATTATAGATATATATATGAAATTATTACATATTTATTATATGAAATTTGTGTTATTCGCCTCCTTTGACAGGCGGATTGGTGATTACTGTCTGGTATAAATTCAGCTTGCTAATTTGGACATACTAAGCCACAAGCTGGCCCGGCAGACGTTATTCTGCCCTTTCTGCTTGGTGGCACGATGATTTTATTTTCACACGCACACACATATTTCTATAGATTTATTATACTTATAGATAAATTCTCTAGTCTTAAACTGATAGAGCCATCAGCAGCCATAATAACAACATAACCCTTTTTTTTTACTCTTCCGTAAGCGGATAAAAAGTTGCCTATATGTTATACACGGTCATTTACTGTCTACATACAAAATTTCATGGAAATCTGTCCAGTAGTTTTTGTGTGAATCGTGAACACACAAATTTTCTACAGATTTTATTATATTTATAGATTTGATGCATCTCTATCGACCAATAGTAGCATGAGTGTAATAAATCCTTGTCTGTTCGTAAATATCTGCTGCCAATAAACTAGACTAAACTTTTAAAAACTAGAATTCTATTATTTATTTACAGAGATGTTGAACGATAGAATAATAGCTGTTGGAATGTTCAATGCGACGTTTATGCAAGCTTAGTCCCGAGAATGTTGTATTGTTAGGATAAATCTTACAAACAGACTCTAACGGCTTTGCGAATGCGATTCACCACGTGTACCGCGTGGGAGATGGATCGCCGGTACAAATGTTTAGACAATAACGAGACACGAACGCCTTTATTGACTATTGTGTACTTACAGAATTGTGTATAAAACTCCATCCGTGATGGACATGACTGAGAAACAAAACGTTCTATGAAAGCAATTGCTTGTAACTTTCATTAATAATTAGGCGTACATTTCAAGTGATCGATAATTTTTTTTGATATTTCTTTTCATTTAATTACCAGCTATAAAATTTTACTAATGCATAAAATTGCCATTTACCGTTGCCAAATGAATGTAAAATGTAAAACATACACAAAGCGCACAATGTAGGATTTAGCTTGAATATTATATTCTCTTTGTTTTTCAACATATTTATCCCAAATAATTTTGTTCCAGAGACATTTCAAAGAATGCTCAGGCAATAAGGAGCTATGGACCCTCTAACGTGGCTCTCGTTGGGGCTGCAGCTGGCGGCACTATGCTCGATAGTTGGCGCACTGCTGCTGTACCTGCTGCGTAAAGTTCGCGTGGCAGAGGTGCTGCCCACCGACAGTGCCAAGACTGTTCTCGTCACGTCCGTAGACACGGCGCTCGGCCTACAGGTATGTGAGAATTTATCATTATTATAAGAAGCTAAGTTTATAAGGAATGTTAGAATTTTCCAAGTATTAAGTTAGGTGAACTTGCAATACAGGATGTACATATTGCCTACTGATCGTTGAACAATGTCTAGTCATCGACTTATGGCGGGAATATTCATGTGATGATGTCAAACCCAAATTCCACAGACTTTTGATAGGGTATCACTATCCTATTACAGCATATCTTAGCATTTCTTTTAATAAATGTGATTTTAGCGTATACCTCAAGGGGTTGGACTTAGAAACGTTTGGCAAGAATTTGGAGCAGCAAGGTGTTGTATTTGAAGGTGTAGATATTGTATAGAGGTTTGGTTCCCGATTATAACAATACCACTAGCATTAAAAGGTAATGCACTGATTTCGAGATAAGAATAAAAAGAAAACAATTTGTATACAGCCTATATACGTCCCACTGCTGGGCACCAGCCTCCTCTCATTTCTGAGAGGATTTTTAGGGCAAGGAAATGTCCGCCGCGCTGCCACAATGCGTGTTGGCGAACTTCACATGTCTTCGAATTTTTTTTTCTTATTTCTCACACAAGGTTTCCTCACGATTTTTTCAATTAATTCAACCAAAAAAAGTCTTACTTGAACTTGAACAGAAACACTTGAACACCCAAAAATCCTTTCAGTTGACTTAGGGGAGACCCCCGCTCCCTCCTCTCCGCCCCCCCTCCTACCAGAGAGAGATAAATGTTAAGCCGCGTCTCCACCAAAGTTTTGTTGTCAACACAACATTTGCCAACAAAACTTGTTTCGATTTTCGGCGGCAAATCTATCAAAGGAATACGCTTGTTGCCAACATTTGTTGCCTCGGTGGAGACGCTTGTTGACAGAAACATTTGTTGGAACCAGTGTTGGCAAATGTTGTGTTGACAACAAAACTTTGGTGGAGACGCGGCTTTATCATTTTGAGGTTAAGTCTATGGGATTTTCTTTTTAATTTTTTTCAAGACATTACCTTTTCATGGGAGTGGTGTCGTGGTGTAGAGGATACTCCCCTCTCCCCTCTCCCCTCCCCCACTCTCCCCTCCTGCCAAACGATTCTAAATTTTTACCACTTCAAAAATATCGGCTTTCCATGAATAGTAGTTGAGACTAATTAAGAAGTTTACTAAGCTCCAGCTTTGATTTCGATCTTTAGTACATACCAGTCCCACTGAAATTATTTTTCATGCTGATTTACCTCGCAACTGGCGATGAAGAAAAACATAGGAAGGAAACCGGAAATATACGGGAATAATATTATTTATTACCTATACTTCGAACGTGAAATCTATCAATATAAGCGGAAGCATTGCGTTGGACTTTTGCCTCTTTGTTACATTCTCAATAGAATAGAAATAAATAAAAAGTATTCAATTTGATTGTTAATTGAAAACTTTTTATGCAATATAAATTACAATTAATACTTATTGAAAGTCATTTATGCTATTACCACTGGGATGAACCAACAAGAAACCAGCGGGACTTTTTTTTAATTAATAATTTACAAATTCGTACAATTAATTCATTTTATTGAGAATAGACTGTAATCCATACTACTCATAAGCGCATATTATAGTTAAAGTCTATAACACCCGTACTCGAGAGTCCTCCTCTAATTACTAAGAGGGTTATAAAGTAGTTAATACGTACAATATTACCGTTTACTTTGCATTTTAATTATAGCTCTATTACAAATAATTGGCTTGTTAAATCGAAACAAGCTATAAAAAGTTTTTCCTTTGTAACTTTCGTAGCGTAAAATGACAAGAACATATAACACTAAACTATATTTATTAGGTAAGAGTCATAAAAGGCACTAACGTCCGTGGGCTGATAGCGGTGACTTTCACATTTGTAGAAATTAGACTCCTACAACTTCTAAATTACTGTACGTATATAACCTACATTTTGTTCATTATACTCAAATTCAAATTCTAATATAATAAATACAACGTTTTCTCTAGCATAAAGTATTCTATGCGTTATTTTTGAAATATTTATTATCATTTATTGATAGGGATACCTTAAGTTATCAGTGTAAATGTAACTTTATGAAACAGCTAATAATTTAAAACTTTAAAAATTTCCAGAATTAGAAATACAAATACAAATAACTGCAATGCTATTTTAATTATTTTAAAGTCGGTCATGGCCCTAGGTAATAATATGTAGGTATGTTTATACGAGTACGTGTGTGCGTGAACGTAATATGAACGTTAATTGAACTGCAATTACTACTTGTTCAACTGTGTTATTTATTTCAATTACATACATAATATTATGTTATGTATGCAATTACTCTAGGATTTCAATGGATCAAAATCACGTCACTAAATCGTGTTTAAACTTATGTCATTATTTACAAATAATTTTTTTTATTATGTTTTACTTCGTAACATTAACGAACAATTATATTATGCTAACGAATATTAAACAATGATATGTAATTTAATTAAAAATCATTGATTGAAATAAAAACATAAAGTATCTTAAACCGAAATCACTTTTCTAAACATCCGCATACGATTTTGCAAGTAGGTAAAGTTCGATTAATTCTTTATTTTATTTTTATGTGAGAGATATCGAGGGCTAAACACGATAAACCGTTTGAGAATCGAATGCCTAGTTCTTGAAATAATACGTTTGAACTAAAAACAATAATCGATTTGAGAATCGGATGCTTAGTTTTTGAAATAATATGTTTGAACTAAAAACAATAAACCGTTTGAGATTTGGATGCCTATGTAGTTCTTGAAATAATACGTTTGAACTAAAAACAATAAACCGTTTGAGAATTGGATACCCGGTTCTTGAAATAATACGTTTTATCGATCAATACGTTTGATCGATACAGAGTCGATTCTTTTCAGGACAGTTCATAACAGAAAACAAAGCGAAACCTTCAGATGACACAAAAATTAAATTTTACCTTTGTAATTTCTGTTTCTAACGAGTTCAAAAGTACGAGAAGTTTATTCCTTATTCTTTAAAAAAAACGTTACCCCCACACTAGGATTTTCTCCTGTATCGTGGAGGCAGTTTACAAACACAAATTTCACAAGGACAAACATCCAGACCCGGAACAATCATTTGTAGGCCATACAAATATTTGTACCCGTGCGGGATTCGAACCCGCGCCCCCCAGCGCAGCAACTCATTGCTAAGCCACTGCGCCACGGAGCCGTCATTCTATATTTCATTTCTATATTTGACGCGTATGCTTCTTTATGTATGTTCACCGATAGCTCGGAAACGTCTGAACCCTGAATTATTTTATATTAAATAGGTCATGCTTCAGGGATAGTCCCATATAAATCATAGTGATAAAAGTAGGGGATGAAGATTTAATGTAACTATTTAGACGATATTTTAGGAGCTACCCTCGCAATTGCGAGCATTCAAAAACCGGCCAAGTGCGAGTCGGACTCGCGCACCAAGGGTTCCGAACAAATTCGTAGGTATATAAGTTTAAAATTGTTAAAAATATTTTTATTATATGATGTAACTAAAAATTTATGCTTTTCGCAATTTTTACTTTATCTGTACTATAATACGTTGCCTCTTACCAAAGAACAATGGCAGACTTTCATACATAAAATTAGTTGAGAATGAATGGTAGCGTCTATATATCAAAAATATCTTAAAATGTTAAGGGTCACTCCCTTAATAACTCTGTCAAAGAAAAGTTCTGAGTTCACGGGAAGTACCCTGTAGGTTTTGATTCCCTTGCGAATGTCGAAAATTTGCGGCATAAACGGCTGTATCTTTTGATTGCGTTGGCTTAGAAGTTTAATTTTTTTACAGCTCCAAGGGACAGTAGACTTGAATATTTGATATGAATTTCAGCTTAATACATCCACGCGTTCCTGAGAAAAAGGGTCTTGACAGACAGACAGACAGACGGACACCAAAGTGATCCTATAAGGGTTCCGTTTTTTTCCTTTTGAGGTACGGAACCCTAAAAATAAAATAAAATAATTTCCACTTATGTAATAGCTTCTGAAGTTGAGATATTTATTCTTCGATATACTGTCTTAGCGCTAACGTCAGAAGCTGTTATGCAGAATTTTTTTTATACTTCTATGTCTATGGTTCGAAGTGGGTATTAGTAGTTTAAAGACGGTTTGTATATTTTATTTTAAAGTTTAATTTTTGGTGTTATTATTTACTTTCAAAAACTCTAAGTAATTTTCGAAACGTTCATTTGATTTTGAGAAACAATAAGAAAGTTAAAAGTCGCCTCTTGGCCATGGGACGATATGTTGTGATATATGATACACTCGTATTCCCTTCGCGGCAAAGATTTAAATATTAGTTATTAGTTTAAATAACTATAAGTATAAATCTTTGCTTCGCGGCCGCAACACGGCACGTTATAATATTACCTAGTAATAACAAATTTTGTTGTGTTTGTTATAACATTGAAAAGGATGTGATGTGATAAGTAAATTATATGGTGGTTATATGTGTAGAATAATTTTTATTTTAAATCTATATTTTTATTTGACATATACTATAAGTACTTACCTAATACTTATCTTTATTTCCACTGGTTCAAAAATTGGGTTATTCGTTTTGGAATATCGGAATCAATTTTGCCCGTACATAGTAGAGAGCTGATGGCGTTGATTAAACAAGTTTCACTAAATTAGCCTTTTAGGTAAATAACAATGACCCGTATAAAGTGTTACATTTGAGCTAACCGTAAATCACCTCTCTCAATACGGCTGAATCAAGCGCCACCAATACTTTTTGCGACTGCGACATTAAATGTCGAAAATGACGGTAACAGGTCGTGCAATGTTGCCGACTTATCAGGTATTTTATGAAAATTTTAACAAGTTCTGCCGTTTGCAAAGTTCTGCCATTCTGCCAAACCTATGATCAATCTAGCTAAGCTCTAATAATATTTTTAATTTATCAGGTGGCTAATCCGTTATTTTTCAGCAGTGAACACAGTCTGCACTTATCCACGAACTACACCAACACCGTTAACTTATATTAACTTTATAATTAGTCATCGAGAAAATTAGAGACAGTTAGTATGCAGTATAATACCTACATTATTTAGACTTTTTATTACATTAAAAAAGTAAAGTTGCACCCTATTAATTAAAAAGTTATACTTAATACGCTTAGTATTAATAAGTTTCATAATCTATCAAGAAAATATTTAAAAAATATTTAATGTATATTTTCTAAACATAATAATTTACTAGTCGATACAAAGGATGGAAGGTTGACCATCATTATACTAGAGTTCAACGGACAGTATAGGAGTAGTAACGAACAAACACAAGCATTAGTGTCAGCATCAGTGTACTGCAGCAAGTTTTTATTTTCTCTTTTGAACGTATCATTAAACCATTTTGTTAATTTTAAATTGAATCGAATGTTGGCGTTGAAGTGCCAATCTAGGCCGCTTAATAAACGGGCCTATTAAACTATCGGGGCTTCCAGTAAAAGATTAAGTTAAATGGCGGCGGCGACCCGGGCCCAGCCAGATATGCCGCCCTTTTTGTAGGTAATAGTAATTCCTAAATGGTAATTCGAAAAAATTTGCTAATGTAAAATATTTTCGGATTATTAAAAAGAAAACTCAACATTAAAATGCGTTCTTATACTGTTTTCTTTATTAAGTACGTAATTTTGGCGTACAAAACTTTATTTTCTAAAACTTTATTCCTCTCTAAAATTAAGATATTAAGTTTGAGCATTTTCTCCTTTAGTGCCGGCAGGGTTTCGAATTTCTCACCAAATAATACCTCTTGTAAAACAAACATTCTAGTAACGCCTTAGGCTGGATTTAGTGCTCGACCGACGGTGAGCACGTACCGTACGCGCTGACGGTACGTCCTGATCGTCGGTCGAGGCCAAGCGTTTAGTGCTTAACTGACGGCAAGCTTTATTAGACGTATACAAAAAATGAATCCATTTGTTAACTCTATAATATGTGTGTACTTACGCAAACGATTACGATACAAAAGACGAAGAAGGTATCATGTGCACCCACCACCCATTAATTGTAGACCGTTTAATTGAAGGAAAATTTTGTGCATTGTATTCGAAAGAACACGAGGAAAAAAATTTTGAGTACTTCAGGATGTCTATCCGAAGTTTTGACGAGCTACTGACTAAACTTCAGGATAGCTTGAAGCATAACAACATGTTCCGAGTTCCAGTGCCACCAGTAGAAACATTAGCCGTTTCCCTAAGGTGAGGTAACTCATTTACTCTTATTGTATTTAAGTACCTTTTTATTAATATTGAATTTTTCTTATATATATTTCATAATAGGACAATAAATAACTCAAAAATATTATTATCAGTAGGAACTTTAATTAAAAGTACAAAAGTAGGTAATCAATTTACATTTTCTTGAAAGTATTATATTCTTGCAATGTATAGGTTGGGATCGATAAATCACTTGGTGCTACCAATTGTTGAGTTGCGGGTTCTTCCATAAAATGAGAACATTGTTCGGGAAGGGTTTGCAATGTGGATTGTTCTGAGGAGTGTAAAGTAAGTACAGTAGGTTTCACTTATAACGAGGATGAAGGGACCGGTGTAATTTCGCCACTATATCCGGAAGTCGCTATATTCATTAAGCCTATTAGGTGGGAGTGGCAAGGACAGAAAACTTGACATTGAGAAAGAATGAAAATAGCATTTATTGTTTAAAAAATACTTTTTGGCTTCTTAGATTTTTGGACCACATTAGAAGAGCACTTTCTATATCTTTATTAGTTTGTCTACAATTTCTTTTTGCAGTCAAAGATTTCCATAATTGATTAAAGCATTGCATAATTTCAGAGCGGTTTTTTCACATTGTTGAAACTGTAGAATGCGAAATAGGTATTTAACTCTTTGCACAAGTTAATATTGCTTTCCCATTCTGAAGCCTCGAAATATTATCTACTTTTTCTTTAACCGTAAACGTTCTTCTAACAGGTGCTGTGATGAACAAACAATTTAACATCGCAAAAATTACTGAGTAACTAATTTTAAGGGTATTGTCACAGCTGCCGACCATCTGGGTTTACGGACAAAAGATAAGAAAGCTTAATGACTATAAATGAATCTTTGTGTATTTGTTTGTTGACTCGTTTGAGTACAGACTCGGTCGTAATACGTGCAAGAGATTTCAGGGATTTTTTTATAAATGACTCATTAAAACTGGTCGCTATACCCGAAATCGTTGTAATATCCGAAGTCGCTATAACCGAACAATTCTCTATTAAAAGTATACGTTATATTCAAGGGGCTTCAAAGCAACGTCGTTATAACCGAAAAGTCGTTAAACCCGGAGTCGTTATTAACAAAATTCACTGTATATCTGAATGATCCGACATCGTAGAAGAAGTATGGGATGTTTCAGGCCGGCCTTCAATAGAGCTTTTAGCAGATGAAATTTATATGGCTTTTTTTAGTATTTCTGAATGGAACAGTAATTTTTGGTGAATAGAAAAAGTTTGCATGATCGGCAGAAGCGAACAAAAAATGATATATCATCGTTCTGCATCACTTTTGTGTTTTCTTTAAAAATATTCAACATTTCTTTCTCAAAATTGTCGTCTTCATCAGGAATTCTCTTACGCTTTCTAGACACATTTTTCCGTCTAATTGCAGCTGTTTCATTTGTTTGGGAAGTGTTGAGACCCTCAGACGTTAAAGGCAGATCATTTTGGATTGATGAAGTGTTTGACGAAGAACATTCTCCTGTATCAATAGTTGGTGACTCGCTATTTGATCGGGATACATTAATTGTGTCCTGACTTGTTAAAATTGAATCTTCTGTGTTGACTACTTGATTTTTGTCTAAAAATTGCATACAGTAAAAAATATATATTTCTTTATCTTTCCACCTCCAGATCCAGATTTTATATTCTTTAATGTGGCTTTGCTTCTTACATAGGCATCGCGCGCAGTTTTCCACCGCTGTCGTACTTGTTTTTCTGTAAGTACAAAGAGTTAAAGAGTATTTTATTTTGTTTCATTTATTTTATTATACTACCTATATCAACCACTTCCGTTCATGATTATTGGCGATTCTGCATTTGGTATTCTAACAAAGTTTTAATGCCTTACGCACGAAGTAATCTGACACTAAAAAAGAAAATATTTAACTATAGATTAAGCCGTGCTAGAAGGTACATTGAATCTACATCTGGAATTTAAGATATTTCATAGACCCATGAATACTTCCTTGTCGAATACAATAGCAATTAATAAAGGCGTATTGTGTGTTACACAACTACGTTAGGGAACGCGATGGTTACAGAGTAAAGGACACACTAACTGTTGAAGGGTTCGTAAACCATAACCGCAACGTAAACCATAACATCAGATCAGGCGATATGATAAGGGATAAATTTACACACTATTTCGTTTCTCCTGATGGTAGTGTACCATGGCAAGATGCTTGTATTTTCTAATAAACTCATGATATACAAAAATGCAGTTTTATTTACTCACTTACCTATAAGTTTTTTCTCATTGTCTGATAGTTCGTCGTAGTTTTGGGTTATTGCTTGGCAAACTTCTAGCCAAGCTTTTATTTTCGCATCACGGTCTTTGTAGTGCTCACAAGAGAGATCCCACAACGGCGGGCGAAGATGCACCTCAGAAATAACACGCTCGGTATCAATGTTCATTTTTGTTCGCGATAATGAGTACGCGCGTACGGTCGGTCGCTCTGTCAGCGTTGCTCTGACCGGTGAACGCACGCATGTACCGCCATAGCGCGTCAGTCAACCGACGTACGTCGGACCGACGAGCTCGATCGACGGTCTTCGTACGCGCGATGTAGCCATACGCGCGTAGTACTTCATCAGTGCTGCCCTGTAGCCGTTAAGGCGATACCCCGACTAAAACCTTGCGATAGTGCATTTTTCTTCGTTATTCAGAGACTTATTATCTCATTATTTATGAGAAATAAACTACATCTAAAAGCACATTATTAGTGTTCGATATCCTACCATCACATTCCACGTTCTAATTTATTTTTATGTGTTATAAATATGTACAATTAAAATCTACTTTTAAAAATGACTAAAATTATTGATTACATGCATCTGTTGCTAAAGGCAACGCTCTAATCATTTGAGGATTACACTAATGGATAGATAATTTAAAAATCCATATTATTCACGTTTTATTTAATTTTTAAAGTTTGCTTTTCTTTTTTAATTAAAATTAATTCTAAAAATTGTGTGAATTCTATGATTAATGGGCGTACGCAGAGTGTGGGCGGCATTCCACTGCATGCTCAAGGTTATTTGGTCAGGGAAACGCCTTAATAGGTTTTCATTGATATAGCTACGCTCAACCGATGTCAGCGCTCACCGTCGGTCGAGCACTAAATCCAGCCTTAGAGTTAGAACATACCTTCATCGTATGAATACCGCTATGACCAGATTAAGTGACACTGTATAAACTATTATTACAGATAGCAACATATCTTAGCGATCGCGGTTGGCGCGTTATAGCCGGCTGTCGACCTGGTGGCCTGGGCGCTCGTCTTGCAGACTCCTGGCTACAGGCACATGTTGCGGCCACTCCAGAAAATCAACCTCCACCGAGGCTAGCAACACTTGAACTTGACGTGGCCCGGGAAGATTTACTGGAAGAGGCTGCTAGAGCCACCGCACAACATTTACCAGCCGGAGAACATGGTAGGTTGAGACATATTTATATAAAAGATTAAAGTTTTAAAAGTCTGATTAACACAATGCTACCTACCAACACAACCTTTTTTTCTTATCAGATTATATACATCGTTTGTTTTCATAGAGATCCCGAAAATATCAAAAATCCCGATATCCCGCTACTGGCTAGACCTTATCACCCTAAATACCGATTTTTTTTATAAAGGCTGGACTTGATACCCCTTAAAAAAAGTTTACAAAATACAAAATCCGAAAAACTGAAAATTTACAAAAAAGACTATACAGTTCTTAAATAATTTGTTTAGATATTGGATATTTATTTATTTAAAAAATAATCTGATATGAAAAAAGAAGATTTCGCGGTATAATGCCAACAACGCTAACTGCATTTCTTCGCTGAGTAACTCTACATAAACCTTTGGGCGGGAACAAAACATGCCCTCTTGTCACTAACGTCGGCAACCAGCGGATACAGTTCCTTTTAGGAACTACCGCATTTGTACCCCGTGTACAGATAATCTCTTCAGCAAATGGCACAAACAAAATATTAAATCTCAGAGACTCGTATAATATACGTCATGGTTCTGTCGCCTCTGAAGTCGTCCCAGATCTAAACGAGCAAGGTATTCCTAATGAGAGGCTGCCTATGTTTATGTACAAAGCATCCAACACAAGCACAAGTGCTTTGTCTCTCTCTCTCTCTCTTTCTCTCTTTCCGAGGACCATTTATTTAAAATCATCATCATCATCATTACAGCCCTTCACAAGTCCACTGCTGAACATAGGCCTCCCCCAAAGAATGCCACAAAGCACGGTCCTGAGCCACCTGCATCCATCGACTTCCTGCATGTCTTACCAGGTCGTCACTCCATCTCGTGGGGGGACGCCCTACACTTCGCCTACCGGTACGAGGCCGCCACTCGAGAACTTTTCTTCCCCATCGGTTGTCGGTTCTTCGAGCTATATGGCCGGCCCACTGCCACTTTAGCTTACTAATCTGTTGGGCTATGTCGGTTACTCTGGTTCTACTGCGGATATCCTCATGCCTAAGTTTATCACGCAGAGAAACTCCGAGCATAGCCCTCTCCATAGCTCGCTGAGCGACGTTGAGCTTTCTCATACGGCCAGCAGTGAAGGACCACGTCTCAGTTCCGTAAATTATCACTGGCAACACGCACTGGTTGTACAATTTCGTTTTAAGGTTTTGAGGTATGTCTGACGAGAAGATGTATCGTAGCTTCCCGAACGCTGCCCAGCCGAGTTGAATCCGTCGATTGACCTCTCGGTCGAAGTTGGACTTACCTAGTCGGACTATTTGCCCCAGGTAAACATACTCGTCACCAACTTCGAGCTTAGTGTTCCCAACAACTACCGGCATAGGTGTGTTATTTAAAAATAAATAACATATTTTGTAATGATTTCATATATTTACGCGAACATTACACATACATATTTTGTCCTTCATCAAACCAAAAAAAGCTATACAAAAGGAATTGCACTGCCCGGGAATCGAACCCGGGTCGCAAGAATGGGAATCTTGCATGATACCACTACACCAGCAGTGCTTGGTGGTACTCGGTGAAATTACCATATATATTCAATTATTTTAAGACGTTATGTGAAATTTTATAAAATGGAATCGAATCATATATTGATTAACTACAATTTTTAATCCTTAAGCCATCTTATTTTCTACATACAATTTATAAATACGTTATAAGCGCCATCTTTCGAAGGTTTTTACTGAATACGCCTTGTTTAAATCGTTCGTATGTTCGACGTCATCATGATGTAGTAAGTACTTTCAAGGACTATAGATGGCGCTGTCTTTTAAAATAAACTGCTTAATATATAGGTAACAGATTTAAAGTTAACTCAAATATAATATCGTATATTATATCATTTAAGATAACATTCATAAACTTAAAAAAATGAGATATAAAAAAAAATAAAACCGAGCTGGGGCTCGCTCTATTAAGGTTCCGTACATACGACCGTATTTCTTTTAAACCACATTTAATTTGGTTTTAGGAAAACAAATTTCATAAAGTCATAATTTAGTAAATAAAAAAAAAACAAAAGTATTTCTTTTCCGAGCTAAACATCGCAATAACCCAGTGAAAGAAAAAAAAAGTTTGTTTGTTTTGGTTACAGCTCACAACTTATAAACTACATTATGAATCAATGTTTCATAATATTCAGGCAATTAAATTCCTAACTAGTTTAGAAAAAAAAATGTTTAAAGCTCACAACTTTCACGGCCCTCTATTTCTTTCTTTTTGAAGATAAATAAGAATTCATTCATTTCTTCATTACAGTTACAGCCCATTAAAAGTCCACTGCACAATATACTTAGACCTCCTCCGGAAATTGTCTCATAGAGGCGATAGCCACGCTTAGCAAGCGGTTTGGTAACTTCAGATTTTATTGTTATTGGGTTGTATTCAGGAAAATGCCGCTGCCCATTGATTGTTTAGTGTCCGTCCTTCACCTCTTACACCACCCAATACATGATTATGAGGCAGTGGATTCTTTTACGTCGCCACTACACGGCAAGTTACATTATAAATCTCTTTATAAAATATGAAAAATTATATATTTGTAATCTACTCAATGAGTTCTAGACAGAAAAATCCCGCATGAAAGGATAAGAAAAAATATTTAAATATTATATATGTAAGCATGAAAAAGTACTTCACAGAAGAACACAAAAACTCTCCGATCACACTCTCAATCTCATGGCTGTTAGACGGGAGATGAAACTACATTCTTCAACAGATTTGACAGCATACAGGCAACTGAACAGACAGATCTCCAAATGCATGCGGCGGGACTTACGCAACTTCAATACAGCTTGTATTGAAGAAGCCATCGAGCGAAACCAAGGCTCCAAAGGCTTTGCCAGAGATCTGTCTGCTAGAAAGAGCCAACTGTCAGAGCTGAAGACCTAGTGTGGCAGCATCGTTTCCGGGGCACCTAAGATTTTGAGTGAGATAGAGAGGTTCTATGGGCAGCTGTACACATCATCGTTGGAGCCACACGCAAGTGTGAGTAACGATCCAAGAGCGAGTCTTATTTTATTTTATCTTATCAGACACTATTCCGAAGATATCCCGGACGTCAGTCTGTGCGAGATTAGGATGGCTCTCCAGCACCTAAAAAACGCCAAGGCCCCAGGCGAGGATGGAATTACAGCGGAGCTTCTGAAAGCGGGTGGAAACCCGGTACTTGAAGTCCTTCAGAAGCTCTTTAATTCCGTCCTCCATGGTGGCACTACACCGGAGACCTGGAGCAAAAGTGTGGTGGTCTTGTTCGTGTGGAAAGGTGACAACGCTCTCTTGAAGAACTACAGACCGATTTCCCTTCTGGGCCGCGTCTACGTGCTGAATTCGAGAGTCATTACGAATCGTCTCGCGCGCAGACTTGACGACTTCCAACCTCCCGAACAAGCCGGTTTCCGAAAGGGCTTTAGCACCATAGACCACATACATACCCTTCGGCAAATTGTACAGAAGTCCGAGGAGTAGAGTTTGCCACTATGTCCGGCGTATGTGGACTATGAGAAAGCCTTTGATTCCGTCGAAATTTGGGCGGTGCTGCAGTCCCTCCAGCGGTGCCAAGTTGACTGTCGGTATATCGAAGTGCTGAAGTGCTTGTACAGTAGGGCTACGATGGCTATCCGAGTATAGAACCAGAGTACGAAACCGATCCAATTGCAGAGAGGTGTAAGACAGGGTGATGTTATATCCCCGAAACTCTTCACCGCTGCATTGGAAGACGTTTTCAAGCTTCTGGACTGGAAATGATATGGTTTTAACATTAATGGCGAGTACATCACTCACCTACGATTTGCCGACGATATAGTCCTTATGGCAGAATCGCTGGAGGGCCTAAGCACCATGCTCAACGACCTCAATAGTGTCTCCCAACGAATAGGTCTTAGGATGAACATGGACAAAACAAAGATCATGGTTAATGTCCATGTCACACCTATGCTGGTAGTTGTCGGGAGCACTAAGCTCAAAGTTGTTGACGAGTATGTTTACTTGGGACAAATAGTCCGACTAGGTACTTAAGTCCAACTTCGACCGAGAGGTCAATCGACGGATTCAACTCGGCTGGGCAGCGTTCGGGAAACTACGATACATCTTCTCGTCAGACATACCTCAAAACCTTAAAACGAAATTGTACAACCAGTGCGTGTTGCCAGTGATGACTTACGGATCTGAGACGTGGTCCTTCACTGCTGGCCGTATGAGGAAGCTCAAGGTCGCTCAGCGAGCTATGGAAAGGGCTATGCTCGGGGTCTCTCTGCGTGATAAACTTAGAAATGAGAATATCCGCAGTAGAACTCGAGTAACCGACATAGCCCAACGGATTAGTAAGCTGAAGTGGCAATGGGCCGGCCATATAGCTCGAAGAACCGACAATCGATGGGGAAGAAAGGTTCTTGAGTGGCAGCCTCGTACCGATAGGCGAAGTGTAGGGCGACCCCCCACGAGATGGGGTGACGTCCTGGTAAGACATGCAAGAATTCGATGGATGCAGGTGGCTCAGGACCGTACTTTGTGGCATTCCTTGGGGAAGGCCTATGTTCAGCAGTGGACTTATGAAAGGCTGTAATGATGATGATAATAAAGATAATATGAAAGGCACTTATTGAATTAATTTCCTCATCGGTTACATTTTTATTTAGAGCCTTTATTTCTTGATAAGAAACAAATATTTTTGAAATAAAGTAACTTTTTGATTACCGAATGTCACCCGCTCACTCCGTGCTGGACGGAGCTCTGTACGATTCATGCAGCGGAGAAGGAAGGAAACCTTCGCCAGAACCCAAGCAGCATGCAAGCTATATACGAGCTGTATTGGATTGTCTTTTTATACTAGAGGCTGCATTCACTGGCTGTACAAATGCTGTATAAGCGCTTATGCAGCTCTTATAAGTAAAAAATTGGCACAAATCATACAGCTTTATGCGTTAGTAGCGCTATACAGTAGCTGTACAAGCGCAAAAGGGGGTGTATAATAGCTGTATTATAGCTGTTATTTGGTGTACAAGGAAACTATTACACTACAAATACTATCTTATAAGTATCTTTTACAGATAAACGTTCTAAGTTGGTGTTTGAACGGTATCACAAATGAATTTATGACAAACATCACTTAATAGATTTATTTATATACTTTATTGAATGATGGCGACATAAGTGAGTGAAAGATTATATTACATATTAATATAACTTGGATTGGAGTTGAGTTTTGAAGGTGATAACCGGTGAATAGAAAGTGCAAAATTATATTTACGGTAAAGTTGTATATGATTTCTATCAAAAAATTGCCGCGCTAGCAAAATAACGAGATAATATAACGACAAAATACTAAATATGGTAAGTAAATCTTGATTTTATAGGTTAAAATAAGAAAATATTTAAATTAGTGAATATGAATGAATATTGGGGCACAGTGCTCATTAGTCAAACTAAAAGTAATGGTTTAGGCTAAAACTAATGTCTCATATTCCTAAATTTACAATTTAAATTTTGTTTTTATAGGTCCTAAAATGGCGACAATTTGTTAAACAGCCTAAAGGATATTTCGAGGGTCTTATAGTCTTAGTAGCTGTACTATGTATGTTATGTATTCTATTATACAACCATTAGTTTTTAATCAGCTGTATAATAGAATATTTTGACTACTAACGCTGTATAGTAGTTTTTAAAACATCACAGATAATTGTCTTTAGAGATATGAATAAAAGATGAAAAACCTTTGTCTTAGGAACAACACTTTTATTCCTTCTTCACTTTATCTCATTTAAATAATATTATTTTAAGATGTAACCGTGTTTTAATAATTTTGTTGTTTTATTTTATGGACAAGGACAAAAAAGTGCTTACTTCTTTCACTTCTTTTAAGACAGAGAGTATATAAAGCCACACAAACAAAGTTAATAATTTGAAAAAATTTTTTTCGTTTTTGTACCAACCTAAAACCATCGATTTAATCGAAATGATTGTATTTATTGGCAATAAATTACTACCCCTTTGATTCAGTTAAATTCACAAACCAAACTAAAAATATTTTAGCAAATAAAGATTACCTATACATCTTTTCTTTCTAATGTTAAAAAGTGGAGTAAAGAATTAAAGCTATCTCTTTCTTTGCCAAACAATATTAATGAAGGTATATTTTATGACAGAATATTTTGTCTCGCTCAGCAGTACAGTACTAGTACGAGCATGTTGTGTTTAGTTGATAGGTAACTCCTGGCAAGCGCATACGCATATCGTTTTCTATTCATACTCTTAGGTCACATAGGTACGGCAAAACCAAAAGAGTTAGCTATTTTATTTCATACATAATTTAACTTTTGTAAAGTAATTTGACTGTGTTGTGTATCTTATACTGGTTTTATTTGACTTTTTAGGAAAATATGCCGTTTAAAATTTTGGAAACCATAGAGAAAGGGAAAAATTGCATTTTCAATGTACCAAGTTTGTGGGAATCAAAAGGCGTTTTAAGATGGCCAAAAAAGCGATTAGATGCTAATATATTTAGCTAATAAAATCTACAATTTGCAATTGTAGCTAAATCATTTAAAGCTACTTAAGATATATTTCTTTCTGTGGCCCAATTATTCAATTTGCTAGCAAAATAAATAGATTTTCTAAAAATTCGCTGTTATTATCATTTGAACTACTTGTGCTGCTGCATGATAAATCATCATAATCAGGTGCCGAAAACTAAGTTACATTTGACATAACTGTGATCATGATTAACACTGTTTAATGTTTTTGCTACGGAACCCTCTTTGTTAGCCGTCGATGGGATTGACGCTTGACTGTAGCTTGTCTGATTTATTAAAGTATTTCTATATCCTTCAGTATCACTGTTATTTCTTTGATAATTTGTAATATTTAAATATTCCCCTTTAATCCTTCTTCTAACTGCACCAAATCTTTTTCTTTTTTTACATATATTGATAACAAATTAATTTGTTCACTATAGCACAATATATTAAACACGCAATTACGCATTCAAAATGGCGATATTCTATCACTTATACAGACTTTATCTGTACTATAGCTGTTATTTATTTTTTAGTTTTATATCACTCAGACAGAAGTTATAAAACTACTGTATTTACAAGAGTGTACAATTACGCCATAAGAATAAGTTTTAGAACGGTGTTCAGATACACCATTGTACAGAAATAATATTTAAATTATACTATTATAACACTTAAAGCTGTAATAAGCAAATAACAAAATGCAAAAAACAGCTTCTATACAGCTTTAATGATAAAATCAGATTGAAGTGTAACAAAATACTTAAAGCTGTATAGTAGATTTTTCATATTCTGATTAAGAACCCTAAGCTTACTTAGATCCCATAATAAAGACTTTATACAGCTTGAGCTGTATAATAACTCATAAGTCACTCTTATAAGTATACAAGCTCTTTTCGACACTCTTATACGCTTCCAATAGAACTCTAAGTTCTATATGGGCTGGTATATTGATGTTCATAACGCTTGTGTACTGCTTGCTAGTATTATAGTATTATAGTGTATTGCTAGTATTTACATTAAAAAAAATGTAACTTTGTTTTTAGGGGTGTGGGCGGTGGTGAACACGGCGGGCAGCAGCGGGCGCGGCGGCGCGTGCTGGGAGGCGGCGCTGCGCTGCAACGTGCTCGGCGCGCTGCGCGTCGCGCGCACCTTCGCGCCCATGCTCGCCGCCGCCGCCGCCGACCACCCACACGCCGGACGCCTCTTCTATATCGGTTAGTTATGTATATATAGTAGATTCCAGTTTGACGTCGACTTTTGGGACAGCCTGTATATATGATACTTTTTGTACACCCGTCTATCTTTGCCTGTATCAGTCATTTACGCATAGGTTGTCAGATCACTTTCAATGTGATATGACCACTTGATGTACATATACTTGAAATTTCACTTTTACTCGTATTCTGTATTTAATTATAGTAGGTATATCATTTTCCTACATCACAGTCCTCGCCCATTTCAGACTTAAAAGCCACAGTGGTTAATACGCACGATATTATTTGTTTAATTTATTAGTCATTAAACTTATTCTGATAAAACGTTTTAAATATTATGTATATGTCGGAAAAATACAACATAAGATCCTACTTCTGATCTCAGAAATACATCAGGTAAAAGTTTGAGAGCCGACGTTCAAGTGGCTCTTTTACTTACGCAATTAATCATTATCAGTAATAATACAGCATAACGCATTATACATTCAGTATAGGTAAACTATTAACTAATCTGTGGTATAGAGTAATTACAGTTCGACCACACGGTAACACGTCCCCGCCACAATCATACACCAGTCTAACATGAGGGACGTAATTACATGATAACACCAAAGTATGCAAACCAATAGCAACACCACCCATCTCAACGTAACCACTGGGCAGCTTCTCAGCAACACCATCTTCCTTGCCTGCACAAGAAGAACCACCACAACGGATAGAATCACGACACTATCTTAGCACTCGTAGAATGACTTCACTCGTAGAATGACTCAAGCGGAATCTCTCGCGCAGGGTGCCTACAATGAACTTTATACTGCAATAACGAGTGAGGGTTTCTCAATATAACCTCAATTCCACCTCGTCACCATCGTGAAGGTCTAGGGTGACGCAACCTCTCGCTCACTCTTAATCCAACCGGCATTTTGTAGAGACGCCGACATATTATATAAATTGAATACGGACAAACATCTAGACCGGGAACAAACATTTGTAGACCCTACAAATTTTTGTGAACTCAAAGTCCGCGGCATTACAGCTACACTACCGAGCCGCCTTTATTATGTCTTGAGCAAATCTTTCTCAAGTTTTTTTTATAGGAAAGGGGCAAACGAGCATGCGGCTCACCTGATGGTAAGTGACTACCGCCGCCCATGAATAACCGCAACACCAAGGGAATTGCAGAAGCGTTGCCGGCCTTTTAAAAAGGAGTAGGCTCTTTTCTTGAAGGTCCCTAGTCTTAATCCGAACAATCCCTCAGTGCACTCCCGGTGGTAAATGCGATAAAATACGCAAAGAGATGTAACATCTCTACGTAGTGGTGCCAGTGTATCGAGCTGATCAGAAAGAACTCGGTCGTCGACGATTCGATCCGCTCTGCGCTGGATGCGGTCAAGTGGAAGGAGCTGGCACTGGGAGCCGCTGGATGCGGTCAAGTAGAAGGAGATGGGAACAGTATTCCTTGAGAGGCCGAACCTGTGGCTTGTAAAGTTGCAGGCGGTGTGCCGGCATGAAATACTGTCTCGCTCTGCTGAGCACGCCAAGCTTTTTAGAGGCCAGTTTGGCCTTCCCTTCTAAGTGACTACGAAACTGCACACTATTCGATATGTCGACGCCGAGGATTCCGATGCTAGCTGAGGCAGCAAGGGGATTGCCTTGAAACTGAGGAGATACGACAAAGGAGTTCTTTTGGGGATTAAACTGGACTAGATTTAGTCGCCCCCAATCCGCGACTTTGTTCAGCAAAGACTCGACTTCAGACACAAGTTTGTCCCGGTACTCAGCGACGGTTTCCCGAGAAATATTGGCACGGCCAGTATATAAGGCATCACCAGTGCTGTCGTCTGCATAGGAATGAATGTTACTAGTTTGCAACATATTATTGATATGCAGAAGAAACAGCGTTGGTGATAGCACGCAGCCTTGTGGAACACCAGCGTTAATAGGCTTGTAGTCGGAGCGTGCACCGTCTACTACGACCTTGATGCTCCTATCAGCAAGGAAACTGGTGATCCATTTGCACAATTTCTCGGGAAGTCCATAGGAAGGAAGCTTCGAAAGAAGCGCTTTATGTCAGACCCGATCGAAGGCCTTCGCTATGTCCAATGCCTCCCCCTTGGACTCTACTGCCTCCGTTCATCTATGAGTCAGGTAGACCAGAAGATCACCAGCTCATCGACCAACATAAAAAGGCCAACATCCATCAGTAAAGCAAGTGTTTTACCACAATCCCAACTGATGGTAAGTGGTGATGAATGTAGTTTGAAGACTCAGGTGCCTCTTTGCCAGACAAAATGGTCTTCGGTTCTCGTCACTTACCATACGAAATGCAGCGGCATTATGTTGCTATTTCCGCTAGCATTTAGTGGTAGAGCCATCTTACCCGGTTTATCGACACAATCGTGCCGCATCTGCGTACACTCCTTTATCATTTAATATGCTAATGTGCTTAACGCAAAACCCGATCTTGGTTTCGCAACAGGAATAAACAATCAGCATATATAATTCCGCCGCGTCATCAAAATCGGTAATTGAAAAATAATGTAATAATAGCTGTCAACAATAAAATTTAAACAGTGAAGATTTCTGTATATTTCTGACTTTTCCAGGACTAACATCGGACACGGCGTGCGAGAGTTTATCCCGGGCGGCAGTAGGGGACTTGAACGAGTGCACCGCAGTAGCGGCTGCGGTGCGATGGGGCACGTGGGGCGCCGCGCGGGCTCTCAGAACTTCACTGCGCACCCGGGGACTGCACGTTGTGTTGTTGCACACGCCGGACCTATCTGCTGCGGAGATCTATGCGCCGCCAGTTCAACTCACCGCACCTAGTCAGCCTACCAGGTAATTATTTAACGAAGTAATAGAATTCTGTGTGATTCTAAAATAAGGAAATGTCATCTCACCCCGTGGGTGACAGCTATAATAATAATAATATCTCCAGACCGAATTACGACCATGGCGGCCAGTCTCAACGTGGACTAGCCATCTGCGCAGTACAGGATTACAGTGACTGAGTGTATGCGCAAACACAGGAACAGTCTCTATTCCCTCGACGGGACGGTAATCCGGGACGACCAGAGAGAAATCAGGCACAGTACCAACTGCTTTACGTGCTTCTCAAGGCACGGGGTTAAAACACTGCCAACTTTTTGGGCTGTTAGTAGGCATAACCGATTTTAGCCTGACCCGGGATTCGAAGAGAGAACTATAAGATCAGCAATCGCGGTTACGACCACTAGACAAAAGACGCAGTTGGCTATAGGTATAACCAACCTGTCTTTATAACAGATTTTAAATATATAGACCAGACAAACAAACTGAAATGTATAAGATGTTAGATCCCTGTCCGACAGCAGGCGGGTGAGCGACAGGAATACTGTCCAAAAGTGAAATTTTAAGGCTTATTATAATTCAGTAATATAGCACATTATCAGGCACTCGCTGATCTCAACTTACTATCCCTTGTAACCTTTATCACATAATAAATAATAGCCTTTATGGTACATAGATTTCCTCTTGGACAATTTCAAGTGAGATCCGGCAAGCGGGCTTGCCATTTGACTGACCCTCTACGCTTTAGCAGCCAATTTCAAACTTGCTCATTTAGTCACTCATACCTAGTAGGTCACGGCTACACCTTCGTGCTGTTCTTACATATCATTTACATTCACAAGACTATCTATAATGCTTAGGTACATTTTTTATATACCGTAAGTACAACAAACCATCCAGTTAGCAATGTCAAGTTGTCGCGTCACATACTGATTTTCGTGATTCTACCAATGTTCGTATTGAACATTAAAACCAAATTTTCTTAATACCATTTACAAAAAATTAACACATCTGAAACAGAACACTCTTCGGCACACTGTCGTGTGGCGTAGGCAAGATGTTCCAATTCTGTATTAGTAAACTGCTGATGCCTACTGCTTACATTAAACTCATGAGCGTGATACAATAACCTATAGTATCACGGTCATGCGTTTAATGTAGTATCACAGGTGTAGTTACTATAGTATCTACACCTGTACGTCAACAGACGTTCATGCACTAGCACGCCATGACATTAAAATACGTGTGAAGCTATAATGCCCAAACCTCATCACTAATTATGTTAATGTACCTATCCATAAGGTAAATCAAATTTGAACTTAATGTTTTCTTATATATTTAGAATGTACGTTGTCTAATTATTCTGGCTGCAGGTACATGACTAAGTTTTTTTAAATATCTTTGACAATTTTTACCGCTTCACCAAACGACTTGACGGCTCCATGGCTTAGAAATTAAATTGCAGCGCTAAGGGCCGCGGGTTCGAATCCCACTCGGAACAAGTATTTTTATGGCCTTCAAATAATTGTTCCGGGTCTGGGTGTTTATCCTTGTACAATTTGTTTGTAAACTGCCCCCACGATACAGGAGAAAATCCTAGTGGAGTTACGTTTAAAAAAAAATAAAAACACCCGTTTACAGCTCAACATTGATTTTCGGGACAAAAAATATATAAGGGCACAAAATCATGCGGGCATTTCCCTTATTTGACCTTTACATATTCACGAGACGGAATGGGACGATGGATTTTCTAACGCCGCCATCACACGGAAAAATAAATACTTAATATTATAACTATCATAAAATAGTACATTACTCCGTTCTGTCTTTAAAGAAGAAGCCTTAAACAGTATCGTTCAGAACTATATCTGTTGAAATACCGTATTGAGTCACCCCATCATCTACTAACGATATCATCCGTGTTTCAGTCGGCCAGATACTCCGAGCTCGGACGTAAGCGCCACAACCGCTAGCTGCGCGGTGACGATGCCGGGCGAAGCGGCGGAGTACAGCGCGAAAGTTCTACCCACTGCAGCCCTGAAGCTGCTAGAAGAAGCTCTCACTTCACCGGCACCCAAGGATGCTTACTACTTGAAAGTAAAGCATGACTCGTGGTTCACTAGGATGCCTTCCTTAAGGGTCGGCCATTGAACAACTATACGGGGGCGTAGCTGCGGAAAGCTTCGGCTCAGTTTATTTGTAACTTTTAGAATTGGTTTCTAAGAAGCAATAATTGAAATATACGATACGATCATCACAAACATAGAATTACAATAATGATCCCGCAATATGTATGTTCTCTTTAATAAAACTTACTCGTCAAAAACGTACCAAATGTATTTTATAATTGCATTTTCCTAACGCTCGCACGAACGTAAAGGCACGAACTTATTTACTTAGTCATACAAAAAGTTTGAAACAACACTTTGTGGGTCGTTTAACTTTAATCTGTTTTAATATGTATCTATTACTAGAGACTCACAGTGCTAATTATATTTTTCAAAATCAGATATTTGAACTAAAGTAACACAATGAAATATTGTTAAAATCTTAGGCGTTCGTTTACACATGAGCACAACACAATTACTCTTAGGATTGCACAGACATCATAATATATAGGTAGGATCCAACATCCGTCATTGATGATTTATCATAAATCAAAATCCATTAAAATGGAAACTATAAGGTTTACATTTATCTAAAATTATTTTAAATCCGATATTTGGTCAAAACCACGGTCAAAACTAAATTGCTCAGAGACAAACTGTCAAAACGGATTCACAAGTCTTTGGTTATGGCGATTGCAGCCAGACAGATTTTTCACAATTTGCTAATTGTGAACTCACTTGTGGAAGTTCATAAACCGTAAAATGGTTCGTTTTTCGTGACGAAGCTGTTATTGCTAAAAAAAAGGTACAGATTCTTTGACTAATGATAATAGATTATTATCAATATGAGTTAAAAACAATATTCATTGCAAGTCGGAGTATAAGATATAATTATCAAAACAAGCGGTTCCTTTTCTTAAATGTATCCTAGCTGCGCCCAGCTCTATGTTTATTTTAATACCCTTTACAATACCTTTTTCTTTTTATGCTGGCACTTTGTACCTTCACACAAAAAACACAAACATAATTTTTTAATGCGCACAAATAATTGTATGTTTAACAAAACTTATTCGTAAATAACACAATGTCAAAATTTGTATTTTATCAACAACATGTCAAATGGAGTTAGTTTGAGAGTGTTCAGTTCAGTAAACTGTAAAAGTATAAAAATATAGTATTTAATATTAATTGTGTAGGTACACTCATCCAAAGAAATTTAATTTTATTATGTCTCTAACAATAAAATCCATTTACTTATTTTAAAATTCAAATTGGGTTTTAAGACGGCGGAGATATTGTATACTATACTCTTTTTTATTAACTTTATAGTAGGTACTTATTTGTGTTGAAGTTTAAAAACTAAACCTTCATATTTTTATTTTATTTTACTTCGACCTACTGATCCCTTCTTAGTCGAAGGCACGGGGACAGTGGAAGTGTTGTGCCAAATAATAAAGGTACTAATAAATATCTAGAAATAGTATATGCACTTGGTAAAGTCAATATTTATACTTATGAAATCAATTCAAATGTTAGTTAACGCTATTACATATTTGATAGTACCTTTTCCTACGAAATCTCGATGGTGATGGACCATTTTGACGTTGGGCAACGAAAGCAATTCTATATATTTGCTTAATTTTGTGAAAAATAGTATGTAAGTGCACTTTGTGCCAATATTTTACGACTATTATATGAACGTGAGTTGCTGGATATGGAAATAGTACGTTAAACTAGAGTTTTAACTACGAATCCAGTGAAGCCAAAACTACAATTATTAATAACTTATTGCAGCCAATTTGTAGGTCTGATCGCTGATTGTGAGTTATATTAAAAAGTTTATTAAGTGTCAAAACGATGTGTAAATAATTTTGTGTTGTATATTAAAATATATCTTTTTGAACTTTGTAGTTTCTATTCCTATTTCCTATTCCTACTTAAAACATTGCAATGAATGCAATAATTTAGTATTTTCTGAGCCTTTCCTATTGATTCCAATTTAATAGGAAAATGGGAAATACTCGTATACCAATATTATAAGATACATGCAATACCTAGTGACCGAGCTTTAATGAAACTTTGATAGTTATCGGAATTTATAAGAGAAAAGAGTTATATTATCGTCATTGGTAAAATTGGAGGATAAGAGTCCAAGAAAAAGATTGGAACATAGGAGTCCGTAATTTGTTTGACTCTTCTGGATTTAGCGAACTGAACAAAAAATAGGAATTACTTAAAGCACGGACAACCCCCCACGTCCCTCAAACAAAAATGCACCAAGAGCAATAGACTAAATGAAAGTGGGTAATTATTGAAGTGTGTCAAAATATTATAATTCGTAGACGATATTGAATAAAACTCGTAGACGATATTAAGAAATCATTAACACTTGGGCTCCTTTATTTTTAATTTATCGAATGCAAACCATATTTTATAATTATTAACGCACGTTAAAAGCCCTCCCTTCCCCGACATGTCCTCCTTATCCAAATTGCTGATGCATGTCCAATACTGCGGCGGCGAAGATTCACGCAAGTGTCCGTCACAGAGTACTTTTTTATGTAGCTGCCCGTTCGCAGCCGTGCTCACCGCGAACTTAGAGTAGTCTGTTTTATTTCCAACATAAACGACTGATTCTTGAAGCTTCAATGATATTTTATCGATGTTTCGGGTACTAAAATTAAGGAATTAAATGATTCATCTGATTGTTTTCATGGCACGGCAAAACTTTAAAATATACATTGTAGAGTCACGCTCGCACAGAACACCAGCGTGAAATTGCATAGGGTAGAGTGGCAAAAGTCGGAGACTCCTTAACTATTAACAAGGCATGCCCACTTAGTCCTTAGGGGTGACAAGTGACAACTGACAACGCATTCTGCATTTTGAAACTTAATCGGTGATAGACGTAGTTACTGCGATCATCTATCCGAATGCCAAGCGTGATATCACGCCGTGATTTTCGCCAAGTGACAACTCCTCATCTGTACGCAATGTGACCTGCTAACGAACGAGGCTTTCTTCACAGATAAATGATATGGTCATCGAAAATTTTGAACCCCAACCCACAGATTGCGCAGCATTGCCAGTACGGCTACGTAGTACTATTATTTATTCTGTGGTACGAGTGAGTGCGAGAGAAGGCAAATATTTTAAGTTATGTATGCAAGTGGCGCATTCATGAAAATGCCTTCGTATACCCAGCGCTGGCCGTATGGTAGCAGCGTAAGACCATTTATCGTCCGGATGTCGTAAGAGACGAATTTTGGAAAAGCCAGAAAGACGTAAGTATGAAAATAGACAGACCGGCGAAGAGGAGAACCAATACGCCACCCTGGGGTGATGATTATGGAAACGTTTTCATACGTGGTAGAGTTACGCTATTATAGTTGTATCACGTATTGATCGCCGCGACATGGGAAGGATCACGCTGTCACATAATACCAGCGTAAAATAGCAGCCTAATGCTGCTGTTTCGTATGATAAGTATAGAGAACCGGAGACCCTTTTTACTTGAAACTAGGCATGGCATCTTATTCTTCAGGAAAGTGACAACGCATCTGCATATTGATACTTAAGCCAGGATAGATGTAGATGTCTGTGGGCCACAACATCCATTTACCATCAGGTAGAGTGTTTGCTCGTTTGTCACCATCATTTTATAAAAACGTTCTTAAATCAAACGTTTAATATAATACATTTTCTTTAACCTTCTATAAGCGAATTGTCTCATAGGTTATGTTATGTGTTAGCCACGAACCACGTGAAGAAATCTATCATCTGTCTTTGTTCCGAGGTTTGTACGTCTACGATGGGATACATAAGAAAGATCTCTTATATAAGTCTCTGGCAAGGACCCGTAATCAGCACACGTGGTTTGCTCCTTGTCGCCCCCAGTACCAATCATTCCGCGGTCCCTGCATCCCGCCACAGGTAGGAATATTTATCGAAGTTCAACATAAATTAAACTTAATAAAAAGTAAAAACAGACTTTAAGGAAGTAAAAAGAATAAAAAGAGTGTGTGTGCTTAACTTATGTACACACGTAAGACGTTATACTTCTTTAGCGTAACGAAACAAAAATAACTAAAATAAAACACGTTTTATAGATACATATATATTTGAATAAATACATTGAATATAGTTATCAGTTTTCACGAAAACTTGACAGTTAACAGACAATTACCAACTGAAGTTGTCGCTTTTAGGTTTCCGTGTGCGCGCGAATCGTAACAACTTCATGGTGTCGTTTTTAGGGGTCGGTGTTAGGGGTCGGGTGTAAAAATTTCACTCTCATCATTTTTCTCAAACACACCAAAAAAAGTATAACTTCTAAAATTTCCACAGAATATCTTTCTGAAGTAGGTGCTAAGAAATGGTTTATCGAAGGATTCAAGACCCGACTTCAGAAGTTGAAATTATTTTATTCTTTTTAGTTTTTTGAAGCAGGTTTTTACTTTTTATTAAAAGTTTAATATTTGTTCCTTCTGATTAGACTAAGAAGGTACAAGGTAAATAGAACTTAAAAATAAAAAATAATCATTAAAATCGGTTATTAAAAAACATATACAGAAAAAGAACATACAGCAAATCTCTGCTATTTATGCTAACTTCTTACCTGTGATCTTTGGCACAGACTCTTGTGCGATTTTCACTATTTCTTTGACTATAGACGTCCAGAACAATATTCTTAGAATTAGCAAAACTCCTGTACAAGCACTGTTTGTTCTCAGGGGGCCGTGCCAATATTTCTACAGGCAGAGAGTTACCCCCTGTATTTATTTGAAATCTTTTTTTGTCCTTTCTGGGAACAATGGTGACAACGTTACATTACTATAAGTAGGAAGTGTTTCAAAGTATTACTTATTCATGAAATAATATTAAAAATAGTAACAAATTAAAAAAATAACTATTAAGTACCTATTCATGACATTAATTTTTATCATTACCCGTAGGTGACTTAAGAATTGGCTGGTGGTATATTAATTTTATATAATGCCTTATGTAAAATCCACTATCATATAATGATCCCGTGGGTAAGAGGCTACAGAGGGCAATTAAAAAGACATGATCAGCAACATCCTAACAACAGCCCAAAATAATAAAAAACTGACCTGCCAAGTGTGGCAACCATAGCTAATATGCTCCCTATGAGAGTAATCTATATGGGGAGGCCTATGTTTTGCAGTGAAGTTTGATGGACTGTAAGGAAATGAAGGATGAGGATCAGACGTCCAGTGTTGCGAATCTTGTACATTAAGAGAGCAGCTTACGTCCAGCAACAGCATTCTTTCGTGCTTATGTAGTAAATAAAAATAACTAAATTAACATTCCGACTAAAACGTGGCTCAGTGTCAAAGTAACTAGGTAAAAGTAAAAAAAAATAAAGTTACAACCTATATACGTCCCACTGCTAGGCACAGGCCTCCTCATATCTGAGCGGGTTTAGGGCAAGTAAATGTCCACCGCGCTACCCCTTTGCGTGCTGCCAAACTTCACAGGTCTTCGAATTTTTTTTTATTTCTCAGACATGTAGGTTTCCTCAAGATTGTTTTCCCTCACCGCCGAGCACGTGGTAGATCAGCACTTAAAATTGCAATTAACAATTTCATTGGTACCGGCGGGGATCGAACCCGGGTTGCTCACGTACTGTGAAATTTACAGCGAGCGCTTACCATCTGAGCTACCACGGCTAGGTAGGTAAGCTTTAAATCCCAATATCGGGTTTTGAACTCCAGTACTTCAACATTTATGCAACCTTTTCGCTTTTTAATTAGTTTACTAGACATTCTTACTTTTTCAAGCGGAAAACAATTTCTGGGTGATAGAACTGCTTTTCTATCCAGGAGTCCATCTGGATAGGTACCACCCTTTTTATTTCTGTTGGCAAATAGCTGCGCTTGCACTGCTGTATTCCGCTCTGAAGGGTAGATGTAGACCCAGTATAATTACAGGTTTTGCGGCATTCTATCCTAGTCCTCAGAGGTGACAACAAATCTATTGCCTTCTCTGTTTGAAGTTAACTGAAAGTGTTCATGGTATACCATCAGGTCACTTCATTTAAAAAAATGCATGTGATTGTCTCTGATACAAAACAATATACTAACTGATTGTTTTTTTTTAAATATCATCCATTGGCAACAATGTATTGGTACACCTGTACTTATTACATTGGCAATGTAACAAGTACTTGTATCATGCGCAACTTCTAGCTTCAATTAACTAAACACACTAGAAACATACTTCTTTAATTTAAGGGGCTCCAAAAAATTCCACATTGGCAACAAATCGTTCATGCGTTTCGGTATTTTGATGTAAGTAAATTTTGGCGCCACCATACGTACAGCAGAAGCAATCTCATTCACCGCCAGCAAATCGATAGACAAGCACATAAGTAAATGTCCATTAGTTTTCTCTACGTCCGGGAATGTTGATCGTTCGTCTAAGTACAGAATTCATTAAATAATTATATAAATTTAGTCAGATGGCTGCATCATTGTGAGGTAGTGGTCATAAGCGCGACTGATGAAACGTGGTCCCGGGTTCAGATCCCGAGACGAACCAAAATCAGTAATTGTAGGTATCTGTTGTTACTGGCCGCCATTAGTGAAATATAGTCTGAAGGACATTATTAATTATATATTGCTGCTACATATGTAAATATAAGTAACTGGCACTTCTTAAGACATCGATTCTCACACTAAAGTAAATGACCAAAAATAGGAAGCTGCAAAAGAAATGTTATGTGATATTCCATGTACGGTGTACACGCACACCTTAAATTTAAGATACTGATTAAAGAATTTTGTATTACTATTATAAGTGTTTTTTTATAGGATAAGGGTGACAAACGAGCACACAGTCCACCTGATGGTAAAGTGGTTTCTGTGGACCATAGATATCTACAGCTGTGCTCGATTACGAATCAAAATGCAGATGCGTTGTCACCCGTGAGGACTAAGATGTTATGCCTTGTTTTTAGTAAAATCTAATCCCTAATCTAATCTTCGGTTCTCTACACTCGCCATACGAAACACAGCAGCGTTAAGCTGCTATTTTACGCTGATATTCTGAGAGAGCGTGGTCCTTCCCCGGTCGAGCCGACCCATTCATGCTACAACTATACCAGCAATATAAATGCGTCGTGGCTCTACCACGAGAAAATATTGTAATAGATGTAGCCAAAGATAGTAAAACGCACCGACTTAATTTAACAAAAGCCTATTCAGTCTTGCTTTGAAAACCACCTACATTGTTAGCGGATGGAAAGACATGCAAGAAGCGGATATAATTGCATATCCGCTTCTTTGTTGTAGGTACGTATTACGAACGACGAAGCAAACATTTTGGTTCTAATTTTGGAAGGGAGGAAAAGGAACTAAGTAATGCAATTCCCGCGCACATTCTTCGAAATATATTCTACAGAAGACCAAAAATGCTGGCTATTTTCCACATGTGCTTGAGACTGGTAAGACGGTTTTAAGCAGTTTCAGGTCTCTTCTTTCCATTAAGTCCGTTGAAACTGCTCAGTGTTATTTTGCAGCACCAGCCACCAGCCCTTATATGACCGTATTAGTACTATATACGGTATAAGCAGCTGTTAAGGAGAAGGAGGTGTCGTGAAGTGCCGTACAGATGTTGCGTTAGCTCACAGCCTTATGTCACAATTACAATCTTGCGTAGTTGATAGGTACCAACTGTTAGAAGTTATCGCCGTGGTTGAAACCGGCTTGGGGGACATCATCATGATCAGCAGCAATAGACTATTTGCACATACGAGTCGACCTAAATTATATTGATAAAGGTTTAAATTAAAATTATTCTCAAAATGACCATTTAAATTAACTAAGCCAGGTACAGTGTGTCCAACCCAGACGCCGCCCATTTCGTCAGCCATCAGTACTCCGAAGGCAGCAGACGTGGGATGACTCTCATACACTGCAAATGCTAAATAGTCTGTATATGTCGCCTGAAAACCAATAAAATTAAAATATATATTTTTTTATTTTAAGTATAGGTACTAATAAACATCGTACACTAATTGTTTAGTATCTATTATTTATATTTAGATACAAATAGTACAAAAATAACATGTTAATAAGAATAAATTCTAATATTATTGAAAACCGATATACAAACCTCAGCGCGTTTCACTGCATGACATGGGCATTTCTCAAGGGCAAGGGATTTGCCTTAAATGCCACAACTCGTAAGCAGATGGACGCTATCAATAACACGTATTTAGATCCTTCGACAATATTTTATTAGAAGGAAAACTTACAGCATATATACACGTCCCGCAGCTAGGTTCAGGCATCCTCTCATTTCTGAGACGCTTTTAGGGCACGAAAATATCTAAATGCAAAAATATTTTGAAATCCGCCAACTTCAAAATATTTTCTTTATTTCTAATACGTACAGGTATTTCACGCTGTTTTCCTTCACTGCCGAGTACGTGATAAATCAGCACTGTTTTTAACAATTTTTGTCAACTATTGATGCCAGCGGGAACAAAACCCGGGTTGATGGCGTACTGTGAAATTAGCTAGCTTAGCTAGCACGGTAACAAAGGTGAATTGATTAATAGGAATAAACAATAAATAGATATATCCCTTACCCTGTACATAGGCGATAGTGTATGTTGCAGCATAGAGTTAGAAGTTATATATTTCTCTGAATTTTGCCATTGGTCCGCTATATTGGGCGTTATATAAGTGAAATTCCGGCCCATCCCTAAAAATGGGACGACTTCGCTAGGAAACTTGTAAATGTACCACCTGCGTAAATGTTATATAAAGCAAAGTTACAGTCTAAACACGTCCCACACCTGGGCACAGGCGTCTTCTCATTTCTGAAAGGGTTTTTTTACTTATTTGGCGGACTGGGACGAGCAGGTCCCTTCACGATTTCTTCCTTCACCGCCGTGCACGTTTTTCATCACTTAAAATTGCGATTAGCAATTTCATTCAAACCTCGGGTCGGACTTTAATCAGTCATCAGGTTTTTGTTACATTTTTTCGATGGATACTTTAAGAGCATACACATAACGGTCTGGACATCCAAAATTCACATTCATCTTCTTCATCAGTATCTAGAAGCCTCTCTTTCCTTAATCGTCACGCTTGACAGCCGGATTGACGATCGCAGTTCCGCACCTTTGGAAGCTGCCTCCCCCCCCTTTCCCATGACCTGTCGATGTAAACGAGATGGTTTTACCACCATCTATCGGAAACCATAAGATCTTTCTGGCATTCTTACTAATGAAGAAATGAGGTGATGGATTCTTTTAGGCCACACCACACGGCACCGCCAATGTATATATTTATTACCAAACACCGTCAACACGTATAGAGACAGTTTTTCTTTAAAACATAAATAATCGTCGTCATCACCAGTTCATCAGCATGTTACTGCTAAATATAATGACAGTAGGTTTTCCTTATTTACCGTAGTCGCCAAGCTATCTTACGCGCTACACTAACAGATCTAAGACGCGAACGAGGTAACAAGGCATATTCACATAAAATATATAAAAGCCATTATATGTAGAACATTGAAACTTGCCCTTATAAGTTCACCTCGTATTTAAAATAAGATAACATAGTATTTACTCTCTACACTGCTCTACGAATTACCTATGTAATCATCGGATTGCTTGATGATGCCGCCTTTAGGCTAGATCGACTTATTATAAGTATTTTATCGGACCACTAAAACTACACTTTTGAACGTAGGCTTTTCCCGTTGACCGTTAGCGGTTCTATGGCAGTCGCACCACGTTGTTTCGATTTGAAGTCCCGGGTTCGGGTCGTGAACCACTCGTAACAAGAATGGTCAACGGGAATATTCGGAATGGTTATAGGATTGCTAACATTTTTTTTAAACATAGATAAAAGTAAAATATAAAGATATATTCCAACTTATTGTACAATTATGTTTTATTTTTCATGCACTTTACTTTTGTAGTGCAACCACACTAGAGATGGATTAACAAACTGGTAAGTGATGTAGGGAGTTAATGGATGCAGGTGGCCTAGGAACATGCTTTGTGGCATTCCTGAGGAAATCCTATGTTCAGCAGTGGACTTGTGAAGTTCTACTTAGTTAATGTAAAAGTTATTATAATTGTTTGGTTTTGGAAATAAAAAGGCTCATTATTATTATTTACCATTCCACGGGCTTATTTTCGTTATCACGACAGTGTAGATTCAAGTAATTCCATCCGTGAACATCATCAGAATAACCATAACATAGTATGATCAAGTTGGTGTACACTATTGAGAACAAAATGCTTGAATCGAACATAACTGGCTCGCCGCTCGTTTCAATTTTATATTGCATAAAACTATAAAAATTTCGTTCCATAAAAAATAATTGTTTCGAAACTTTCGAATGATTCATGCGAAAGTGCAAACGAATCTTTTAATTTAAATTTATTTTTGACAACGAACAGTCGTATACAAATAACAAATAATATAAACAAAGTTTCTGTTAGGAATTTACCTACAGTGTCAAGAAGTTAAAGGAAATTTAGAAAAAAGTTACATGGTGATTAAGAAAAAATAAATAAAAATATCCATAAATGCAACCCACTCGCAAATCTTACTTAAATTAATTTTTAATGTGGTTAAGGTATTGAGGGATATGTTAAAAAGTCGATATTAGTAAATTGTTTATTATTTATGTCATGGGAACGGTATAAGAATGAATTACTACTATGTATATATTTTTGTAACCGTGGAAGAGAAAAATTGGCATTTTACGTTAGGATTGCACTGGAAGGCGAGCACGAGCAATGAATAACCTTTGAGAGAAGTAGAGAAGAGTCAATTAAATTATTCAAAATTTTATAATATATAAAGATTATATTAAACAATTTACTTCTACTACAAAATAATAACAATTTACACATAAGCAGAGATTCATCATGATTCGTCATTTGTTAGTAATGTCAGTCGGTAATATAGTTTAATATATTACATACACTATCTGTTAACACAAACTGCTTGACATCTTTTTTTAATATAGAATTGGATCTACCTGAGAAGAGATCTTATTTTTGCCTTATTCATAATATTGTAAATCCATTTGTTCTCCTGACTAGATTCGAAGAAATTGTTATGAATACACCATTCATATTTATCATTGGCATTTTAAGTTATATTTTTACAAGATTTTATTTAACTTGCTTTTTTAGTATGTCCTTTCGGTTCAGAATTATAAAATCAATTTTTGAAGCACTTGTTGAAATATGATCGAGGTGAATTTGGCATTTTTAAATAATTTAGATGACGATGTATCTAATGATGGACCCGTATACTGGCCCCAGCAACTCCTATAAAAGCTTGTTTTTATGCAGATAATAAAATAGATTCAAATATTATTATTATTATTGTAACTTTTTAATTTTATTAAATGTATAATTTTTTATAATGGGGTTCTTCACTCTATTTTATGAAGTCATGTAGAAAGAGTGACAAAGCAAATTTATGCTGCAGAAGTGAAGGGCAGAGCCGGCAAAGGGCGCCCTAGACCTAGACGGAAGTTCATCGACTAAATTGGCGATATATTGAAGATGGACCAAATCAAGAGTACCCTTAACCGACGAGCATGTATACGTAGTTAGTGTATGTGTAGTACGTAGTAGGTGTCAGGATCGTGCCAAATAGAAGTTCGTCGTCTCTGCTTACCCCTATGCGTGAGCGTGAGTATGTATATTTATTTAGTTGTTTTGATAACTATCAATATGTTAAGAAATTTTATAATTGTATCAAAGTTAAAAAGAAAAATGATTAAAACCCGTAATATGTTAAGAGTTAAGGATATTGTAATTCCTTTATTCTTACAGTCTTTTCATGGGTATTATTTTATCTTAATTCTTTTTCTAAAATAAAAGTACCAAAGTTTTATAACATCAGGTATCTGTCAGTGAAAGTCCGGTCAAAATCGGTCCAGCCATTTCGGAGATTAACCGGAACAAACAGACAGACAGACAAAAACTTTAAAAATTATATTTTTTTTGTTATAAGTACCGTATATACTTTCATATCAGTTTTGTAGAAAACTGTTATTTTTACATTACAAACAGAAACTTTATTTTTATTTATTTATATAGATTAGATAATGATGATTATGATTGCGGTTACAGTAACACTATCGATTCATTGTAAAAATTAATTATTCATTAAAAATCACAGCTTTCGACTTGGACAAGTATCTGTATTCGTGTAACATAGCAACTATACACAATAACCACTGAACCGCGCCGAAAAGATGGACGATGAAAATAAACAAACAGCTTATTATATGCGAGCCTCCATTTCTATTACGTATGAGTAACACCTGAAGAACAACGCAGTATAAAAATACATTAATCATTCAAAACATTCCTTACATCAAATATAACAATAAATTATTATAAAGCGAAAGACGATGTTTACCAATCGACAGACGATATTTACCAAAATCCAAACATACAATGGCGACGAGAGTAACGAAGTCATTTTAAAACATCAAGTAAATTTTACCACCGGCCAAGGCAATACATACTTTATGTAAAAAATTTTACAATTTAAGATATACAACTTGAGTATTGATTTTATTAAAAACAGCATACTACTAGACAGTTTTTGGTTTCCTTATCATTGATTTTTGGTTTTTATTAATTTTTTTCTTTAACCACATATTCCAGTATTTTCCTTGGACTACTATATTTTTATAATACTATAATTTTATCACAAACATACAGAATGATCACAGGAAACGCAGTCGCAGCATATTGTACTAAATCTAAAAAATTACACATCTCATTGACTTGAGTAAGCTGGCACAAGGGATATTTACAATGATTCTTAGTAGAGAAGAATGACACTTTATTAGTCCTTAATGTATACGTAATGTAACTTATATACTAATTGCACGTCTGGACTGATTCGATGAGATGCGCGAAATTGCCCCAGAGGATGGGGCCCGACGTGCAAACTGTGCCACCACCTCGGGATTCTTGAGGCAGCTGAAAAATTTTATTGTATTAAGGAAACACGTTTTTATATCAGAAGATGACATTAATAAAAATGTGTACTACAAACTCCTCCGGTACTCGCACCAGACTACCGAGTAAAAAACAAACGAATCAGTCGGCGAGATTAGTATACTTAACTCTCAACATCTTTAGTATTACAGAATTTTATCAATTAAACAAGTCAACAGCGTGGTACTATGACAAATATCCCCTCTATGAGGCAATCTATGGGGGTGGTGTATGTTCACCTGTGGACTTTTAATAAGCTGTAATGGTTATGGTAAGTACTGAATAATATAGAATTTAAAATCAAGCACTGATCTTTCTTTCTCTTTCTCTCACACACACACGCACACTATTTCACTCGTTGTTGCACAAGTGTGATTCTGTAACTCGGGTGGGTATCGTGGTTGACTTCGGTTTGATGTTGGACGTTTGGTTTCGTTAAATTGGTCTCGATTACAAGTCATGTGTTTCTTTATATCTATAGTGGCTGGTATCCGACGCGTTGCAACCGCCAAAGAAATAATTGTGCAAATATCGTTTTGAATTTGGAAGTCATATTGTTTAATTTGGAATTATAATACATTCATTATGTTAAATTATACATAACTTTCAAATAAATTGGTCGGTTACAAAATATTTTCACAGTGAAATTACACAATGCAGTTGCGGAGGTGATTCCCACCGGTAAACGATTCCCACAATCACACTACAAGTCTGAATAGCAATATTGGTTAGAGCTCTGGACGAACCACAAGGGAACCCCAGTAAATTTTTTTGTCAAATTAGCTAAGGCATCGAAACGCACGTAGGTGTTCTCATTTTACAAAATGAGCAGGCGGTCGCGAATACATATTCGTAACCTCCAATTCCTCGGTACCCAAGCGCCTCAACACCTCTTTATGCCGTCGGAAATAGAATATAAATAATAATAGTAACAGTCGGAAATCATCTGCCACTTTATTAATACCAAATTTAAAAAAAAAACGAAGCAAATGCTCATTATGATAATATTTTGTAACCAACAAGAACTTAAATAATGATGAAGAACAAATAGATTTTTTATAGGGGAGGGGAAAAACGAGCATAACTGATGTTAAGTAACTAACGCCGCCCATAAACAAATGCAACACCAAGGGTATTGCAGATCCGGAAATTATCCGGTTGTAGTCCACAAACAATTCGTGCGAGGAAGAAAACTTCTGGTAACCTCACAGTGGTGGATAGATTATAAGTAATTATTATTGAAAGTATATTTTACTTTTGTCACTGGTTCAGAAAAAAGCCTCTGTCCTGGGAAGAACCAGCATGAAACCCACTGTTTCTATAGTAACATTATACAATATAAAATAATAAAATAGAATACAACTGTTTACAAAACGCATTTAAGTTACAGTTTGGAAGCGAACACCTCATTTTCAGTGGTTTTTATCAACTATGTACACACATTTACACAATACCATGAAACCAAACGTCAAAATGTAGCCAACCACAACTGTCACCTAACCAATCGCACTACTGATTAGATTTTTTTTATAGCATGCGGGTGACAAACGAGCACACAGTCCATCTGATGGTAAGTGGTTGCTGTGGCCCATAGACATCTACATTTATCCTCAATTACGAATCAAAATGCAGATGCGTTGTCACCCGTGAGGACTAAGATGGAATGCCTCGGTTTCCAGTAAAAAGGGTCTCCGGTTCTCTACACTCACCATACGAAACACAGCAGCATTAAGCTGCTATTTTACGCTGGTATTCTGTGAGAGCGTGGTCCTTCCCCGATCGAGCCGATCCATTAATGTTAAACTATACCAGAAATATGCTGCAGCATGGCTCTACCACGTATAAAAAAAATTAGTTAAAGTATCAATCAATAATAGAATTTATCATTTGCTACAGCCTATCAAAAGCCTATAAATATAAGCCTCCACTGTAAATTGCTTTCTTATAGGGAGAAAATATAATAGAATATTGCAATGCAATCGCATGAATGAATGCTTGGTGATCCTCACCGCCCTGTTGATGTCTCCGACGCAGACCCAATAGTCGGCAACCTTGGTGTCCTGGCTGTTGTGCATCTTGTGCGCGACCGCGACCGCCCACTTCGAGTGGTCGTTGTGCGAAGTGAACGACATCTTCGCGATCGGGAACTTGAGCCGTTCGATGTTTCGCACCCTGCAAATTGCATTAATCTTACTAAAGGAATACATTTTCTTTTTTATTAATCCATCAATCAAGGATCTTCCTTATTATTGGCAATTTCAATATTATATGTCTAATAATAGTAATGTCTGCTGAACAACTGTCAACTAAGGCATCAACTTTCTAACAATCGCAAGCTTCAAATGCGCAGGAGTAATTAATACGATTTTATTAGCTTGGTATGTATCTATGTAACGGATTCGTATGTTCGCAACGTCGGATTGATTTGAAACTTCGCACAATAATCAATGACCGATGTCAATTTAAATAGTTTGTCCCATTATCCTTGCCAGGACCTTCAGAATTTACGAATAATTTATAAAACAACTATGATCTCTGGCAGTTAAATCTATTGTAAGCCGTGTAAAAGAACTTCGTTCCCAAAAATAAACAAGCTTTTGTAGTAGCACTAAAAAATAGAAAATAAATAATACTTTAAAAAACAAAAAAAAAAACACGGTTTTGTAGGTAATGGAACTAAAAAGTAGAAAATAATTTTCAATAAGTTTAAAATAAGAAAATAGTGATTAACATAAAAAAAGAAAATTTATTGTAAAAAAGCGTGGGGTGCTTGATGTCATTTGTTGTAAATATTTTTGTAGATATTTGTAAAATTAGCGTCATCATTAAAATATCTGAAAAACCACAAACGATTTTTTTTGCAATAAAATGATTTTTTTTATGTTAATCACTATTTTCTTATTTTGAACATATTGAAAATTATTTTCTACTTTTTAGTTTTGTTATCTACAAGATCGTGTCTTTTTAAATTATTATTTATTTTAATTATTAAAATTGGTGTAGTTTAAAACGTAAACCTAAGTAAATTTGTACTGTATTGTCGAGGAAAATTGTCCACTCCTGGAAGAATTATTTGTAGGCCATACAAAATACGTACTTGTTCCGTATAGGATTCACTCGCCTCTTATAGCCACTACCAAATCGTTAAATTAATCCATATTGTAGTAGGGTTATGCACAGCAGGCAGCTTAAGCACAACATACAGGCATCAACAAATCCAAGCCTACCTGCCGACCGTTTTGTGGCGATATAAGATAACCATCAGAATTCACCTCGTCGGTGTTAAAAGACGACTATGAGAAACGCCAAAAAGTTCTTATCGTTTCTGATAAATGGCGGCATTAACATCTCTTTACGCGGGCGTACTAAGATCGGCAATGTTGAGCAGCGTGAAAGACATATCTAGTGGTGATGCTGCGATAGTTAATCCGTCCGCAAAGAATGATGACCAAGAGCAAGACGAATACGCCATACGAGATATCCATGACCAGCATTGGACTTTTACGAGCTAATGAAAAAGTGTTTACAGGAAAGCGCCTGTCTTCTAATTAACTCGTTACTTTCTATGGTCCCGGGTGTTTATAATGCCATCTAACTGAAGTCACGAGGTCTTCCTGGCATTTACTACAGTCGACTCTTCGACACCCACTGCACGAAGTGGACTGATGGATCCTCTTTATTCCAGTTTTTGAAACCGTTCTCCAATTTTTCGTAGAACCATTGGTTGCTGAGATATCGGTAATTGAACATAAAAGCGTCTATTTTCGTTCAACATCGGATATCTCCGCGACAAAAGGACGTAGCGGAAAATTAAATAAAAAGAAGTTTAAGCTGAATAAACAGGCTATCTGGTCCATATGATGGTTTAAATAAAAAAAAATGCGAGCCCGTGTAGCCAGAAAGAGAAGACTAAAAAGGAGAAGGAGACGTCTACATACATTCTTGGGCCCAAGTGTTAACAAGATGAAAGTAGGACCATTTTAAAGCGTATATATATACAAATCCTAGCTGAAAATCTGGCAAGATTTGTCAATCTAGGAGCTGAGTTATTGTAGAGTAAGTAAAAGCGAGATTATCTATTACCTACCCTGTAACAGGTGATTTTTCACTGTTATTACACTGTAACAGGCTATTTTTCACTATAATTACTTAAAGATATATAAGCAGGAATAGTATAAAATCACCAAAAAAGCTGTGGTTAATAATGAAACGAAATAGTGAAACGATTAACGAAAGTTAAAACAACAACAGCTAAGTGAAGTGAATATTAGGGATATCGATCTGCGATCGATTACTTGAATTGTTGTTGTAACTGTTACTTGTTGGAATTTTGATGTTTTGTATTTTTTATTATTATTTTTCAGATATGTACGCAATTTTTTGTCTATCTAGTTAATATAGAAATATAATCGAAAATAGGTATTAAAATACTCTATTTAATCGAGAATCGATTATATTGCGCTCGTTTCAAATCGAATCGAAAATCTGTCTTTTTCTTTTAAGTAAATAGTTTGAAGGTTGAACTGTCAAGTCAAGTTTCAAAATGAGAAGTCCTCTATTGGAAGAGAACGTCCAGAAACGAGAATTTCACAAGTTTCACACTTTATGGTAATCGATTTATTGCCATAAATAATACACTACAATCGCTTTTCTAACTTCTTTCTTATTTTATTGTTTTTTCGAAAGCTGGATTGTAAAACGAGCTACTTTTTTGTATTTTACTTAAGAAAAATACGGCCAATTTTTTAAAGTATAAACCAATTAGTTAACTTCAGGCCCAAAAATCCCATTCTCCTTTGGATTGTTTTTCTTCGGATTGCGTTGAAATCGTGTTGTTTAAAAATATGGCCTAAAGATTCAAAAACTAGAGTCTTAGAGCTTCAAAATGCTTTTTTCAATATTTTCAATACGACCATTCTTGACTCAAATACAGCCCATCAAAAATCCGGTAAAAATTTCGAAGTGTATTTATAAATAAAAATGTTTCTAATATAATATTTAAGACTTTTCTTGATGGTTGCTTACTGGAAATTCCTTGTACATTCGGAGTCTAATGTGCCTGGTCCATTGGTCCACGATTCTACCAAAAGATCTGACTGCAGCACTTCCGCCACTAACCCACTGTACAAGTCGTCGTTAAACATTGCGCTCTTTGCGAAAGACAAGAACTTGCGACCAACCAGAGTTTCGAAACTTTCTATGTGGTACCTGAAATAAGTAGTGGAATACCTTAAAATTTAATAATACAATAATTAACTTCTCCTAGTCTCCGAAACACAATTAAAAAATTAGAATATTTTAGGGAAAGTATTCTAGAATATTCATGTATCATATCATATATATATTATACAAAAAATTATATTCTTCTGTTTTTCATAAAAACAATTCCATTGTTTTGGACCTTCGAATCGGATTTACTCAAGTTTTATGTTATAAGTCATCGTCAAACATTGTCCTTTGTTTTCCTTATTCTCTATTTTCCTTTCCTATTTAATATCTGTAACCATTCCGTTTTATCAATGCAATTGCATTGTGAAGCCCCAAACATTCGAGTAAATGATTACACTAGATCAAATCAAATACAATAGTCATTGAAATTCCAAAACACACTGACTCACCGATTGTAATGTCTTTGTGTTTATATAACTTGAATTGTGCTAGTAAAGTAAATATACTTTATTACTATTAGAACAGTTCTCACTCACCATGGAGATGCGTCAATTGTTTTATTATGCACAACATCGATTAAATTAGGGAGTTCGTTATCGAAGTCTTGTGGTATATGGTGATATACAATCATGGGTTCATTGTATTTAAGCTGGGTTGCAATTTGGTTCAGCGTTGAGGTCTGGACGGATACGCATAAGAAAGATTGTCCATATTTCGTGCCTGTAGTCGGATAATTATACGAGGAATAGTTAAGACCATGAACTGCAAGAAAAAAAATAGGTTTTAGGTTTTTTAACATCATCGTGAATATTTTTGCTAAATAATTAAAAATTAAAAATTTTGTACCGCCGACTTCAATATAAGTTATAAAGAATAACTCAAAAGCTATTGATCTGACCTTGAACAAATTCATATGGGACCACACGAGAAGTATCAGCTTTCATATAAAAAAAGAATCATCGAAATCGGTTCACCCAGTAAAAGGTTATGAGGTAACATACATAAAAAAAACATGCAGTTGAATTGAGTACCATGTCCTTTTTGGAAGTCGGCAGAAAAGGCTCTTGTTAAGAAAATTTTACAGTGTATAAAATAAATACTGTACGATCATAATAACAGCAGGCCATGTAGTTCTATCGTAAGGAAATGCCAGAACGATTTTAGTAGTCTTCAACAAATGACGAAATAATGAAATCTTAAAAGTCAGACAGTAAATATTTAGACAGGCAACCAGTGGTTATATCATTAAAGGAAGGCCAATCTGTGATCACTAATTGTAGCATAATTTAAGGTCTCTGAATTGCTTTGTTTTAATTGTAATGCAAAGAATAACACATATTGGAAACTTGTGTAGCCATTCATTCATTTTATGGCATTGGTGTCGTGAGAGGCGACTATATTAATTATCAGAAGGATCTTGACCTCCTTAGATAGCGGTACGACGATATCGTGGCCGCTAAATTTAAAATACCCATACCAACGAATGGGAGCTAGCCAAAGATGGAATACGAAAGTCTGTAATTGGGAACCCTCATGATAAGTGTCAGACGTACTTGAAATCTGAAAATAAGATTGTACTAATCCGTTGGTCTATTGGTCAGTCGCTCTGGTTCCACAGCGGAAATCCTCATTTCTAAGTTTATCACGCAGAGAAACCCCGAGCACAACCCTCTCCATAGCTCGCTGAGCAACCTTGAGCTTCCTCATACGGCCAGCAGTGTAGGACCATGTCTCAGTTCCATAAGTTAACACTGGCAACACACACTGGTTGTACAGTCTCGTTTACAAGTTTTGAGGTATATGTGATGAGAAGATTTATTGTAATTTCCCGAACACTGCCCAACCGAGATGAATCAGTCAATTGACCTCTCGGTCGACGTTGGCCTTACCTAGTCGGTATAGCCCGACTAGGTAGGTCTCACTTTATTATGTGTATACATAAATCCCGGGAATTGTGTCCCGGCAATTTCGCTTGTTTTCGATACTGGCAAATGAATGCTGTAATGAAAAGCTATCTAAGTCAGGTTGAAGGACAAACTTAACATTGCAGTGGAAAAAATGTTATACCAAATTTCTATCTACATCAAGGTCAAGGTCAAGTCAATGCTCCAATTGCATATGTATGTTTGTTACCGCAAAAAACTATAAAGTGATATAAAGCCAAATTGACGATTTTCAGATTTTTTTTCTTCTTTACATGTGTTGTTATACCCATCAACAGGAACTACCCTATAGATTTTAATGAGTGTATCGAAATATTGGACATTATTGGTCATATCTTTAATTGCATTGACTAAAAAACTTCAATTTTTTACACCTCCAAAGGACCAAAGACCTTAGTAATTGATATAAATTTAAAATTCATAGCCTACCCATGCCTGGGAAAAATGACAAAGGATGGATGGACAACAAAACATATATGGGTTCTGTTTTGTCCTTAGTCACATAACACTAAAATATAAATAATATATTATACTTACTATCAGGCAGTGGAGGAAATCTTGGCACAGAATGCACTAGCCAAAGTGCCGTGAACTTATCACCTAAAATTACTCCTTTTGTGTGACCATTCTCAACTCTCGATTTCATGAACTTGGAGTGCATTTTACACATTTCAGCTAAATCATAATCATCATAGTATTTATCACCCAGTTTAAATTTCTTAAACTTCTTCACACCAGCTTGATTCATTTGACCTTAAAAATTTTATTACATGAAATTACAAAAGATTTTTTAACTTACAGGGTACTAACTAGGTCAATTCAACTTATGTTAGCATTTTGTTTTCATATGGCATTTGATTTAAAAAAAAACGGTTCTGTGGTTGTCCTTAAATATTATATGATAATATATATAATTTGAATTAACACAGCTCTTATTTTCATAAACATGTATATTTCATATTTGTTCTGACCTAGATAATATTTATAAGTATTGTGTATATATGTAGTGTATGCATATATATGTGTGTATATTTATATGTATATACAATATTTTTTTAGCGCTTCTATTATACTTACTGCTGCACAGCCTCTTGTTTATATATCTTTGTTTAGCCTAACGGTTAAGTGGGAGAGAATGCCCTATGGCATTAAGTCCGCCATATGTACAACTTTATGCATGAAAGATTAAATAATTAAATTAAAAAATAAATAAATAATGTATAAAAGTATAATGTGGATAAAAAATAGTTTTTTTTAAATAGCAAGAAATGCATGTTTAAAACAATTATGAACACAAAAGTAATTAAATTAATAATCTACTTCAACCACATTTTCGGAATTCTTTTTGTGAATTGCTCATAGTTTAAAAATATCAACAACTTTTCTAAATGTATGCATACAATCTTTTATATTTCGTCGCCTTGGAAGGTAATGGAGTTATTCCACAGAACTACACTTCTGAGTTATGGACGTTTAAAAACTAAATGATGCGAGTAAGAACAGTTATTTTAACATAAATCAGCGTCATATTTTAGTAGAGAGTTCAAATTTTTACCTTAGATTATTAAAACGTGTTACCATTGAATGCTATAATTAAAAAATATCAAAACATCATGGTTTAAAAGTTATGTGGCTTAGACCTATTGACTACCATTTTATTTACAATGTAATACTCATATTACGAGGTGTATGTCACTTAACTCTCTTGCCTTATTGACTTTTTATTCCGATGACATATCAATCTAAATAGATAAAAACGCGCAAGCGGAGTGGAGTGTTTAAAAATAAATACATAATAATTAATTGTTCATTTACTTTTATTAAAGGAAAATAAATCAAATTAACAATTAAAAGGTAATGTAGAAAAATGAGGAAGTTAAAATAAATTATTCACTTTCTGAGTTGTCACTAATTAGTCCTTCTTCCAGATCGTTATAAAAATCATGATACACCGAAGGTATGGTACCTTTTGCGCAGAGATCCTTCAGATCTTTAAGTTTATTGGCAGAGATCTTAAGCTTTTTGTTATAGAGCTTCTGTAAATCGCAACATGGTGTCATAGTAGATTTGCGTAGAGCTTTGCGCTGTATAGGTAAAGATTTAAAATTTTCTTCTGATAATTGGTTCTTGAAAAATATAATTTTAGGACTTTCTTTTCGATATTGTATCCATTTTAATAACAGCCAGTTCATATTGTCACCAGTATCTGTTTTATTTTTATTTGTGATAACTTTGTTACTGTACGACTTAAAGTCAATAAAATCTGAATATGTCAACTCTTTGATCTTGTAATATGGCTTTGTTGTTTTAGCCGTACGTGCGACAGTGTACCAGCCTTCTGGTGTATAGATATCTACATGCCTCCCTCTGTTTTCAACTGCAGAGTGTACACTATCGCATTCCATCTCTGAATGTCCAGACTCCATAAACTTTTGATTAATGGTTTGGATTGGCAAAACTGTTACTGCATGTAAAAACATTGCGGCAATAATAGTGTTCCGATTCTGGCCAGAAGCAGTATCAGAAAATAAAGTTATTTCTTTTATCTCAGGAGCCAATGACGATAAATGCATCCAAATGCAAGTGGCTATCTCCGATGCACCTTTAGTACCTACTCCTTCATGCCACATATAATTTGTAGCCTCAGAATCTCCTAAATTATACAATGTAAAATTGTAAATCTTTAACTTTCTTTTATAATACACCTGACCAGCCTGTAAGTTTGGAGCTAATAGTAGTTTTTCCAGGTCCATAGCAAAGGCAATAAAGCCAGGATCTACTTTGGTACGATTTTTGTCAAGAACTTTATGCTTTCTTGCTTCGTTTTTACGAATAATATGCAAATCATACTCTTCTTTATGAAGTTGCTGCTCATGCTCTGGCCTATTCTTAAATTGAATACAATGGTCACATTGATCCTTCTTAGGGCGATGGAAACCATAATTAAATTCGTTGGTAAAAATAAATTTGTAAAAACTGGCCTTTTCAGGTACAACTTGACGTTCTTTACAATACTCTACATAGTCTAAGTACAAACGGTTTTCGCTTAAACCTGAAGGCAAATATTTTCTCTTCGTCGTACTACGACAATAATGTGAAGATACAGTAGGTAAAGACTTAATGTGGTCTCTAATTATATCTTTAACTACATCTGATTTCTTGTTGGGTGGTTCTTTCTTCCCTCTCATATCTGGTTCAGTAACTCCAGATGGTGTCAATTTACTTAAAGCTGTCTCAACTTTCTTCGCAGATATATTAAAAGTAGTCAAAAAAAATGACTTGCATACTTGGAAACTTTGGCTATCTCTAAACAGGCTATATACCAACGTGTTTTTACGTCTACTTTGATTTTCTTTGTAGGTTCGTTTGACAGGTACACGTTGCACACACTTACCTATGAAACACCATCTTGCATGTTCAGATTTCAAAGATAAATATTCTTGTAGAAGATTTTCTCTTTCTTGTAATGAAAATTTAAAGTTACAATTGTAATGGCACTTACACGATATATCTTTAACTTTTTTAATACCTATTTTATTTCCTGATCTTGTTGTATATTCCTTTCCAGCTAGCCTTAAAGTTTTTTGAGTATTACGTTTCCACTTAAGTGGATTTCTTTGACGTTTTCTTGTCAAAGTGTCGGAGTCTACTTTTTTACTTGTAGAGGTGACGTGTTTTCGAATGTATTTACTCCATAGGACTTCATTGTCTTCTTCAGAACTGTTAGATATATTTTCAGAGGTAGAGGTCTCCGAAACTCTCGTTACAGGGTGGTACATTGTATCGTTTTCAGAATCAGAGGTAAAGTAAGGATTGCGATCAACTATAGAACCTGAAAGTATAAACAAGAAAAATTATAACCATGTCCAGAAAGAGCATTATTATTTTTACCTGAAAATAAGTCTGGCAAGCTTTTTTATATAGGATAGGGTGACAAACGAGCACACAGTCCACCTGATGGTAAGTGATTGCTGTGGCCCATAGACATCATCTATCCTCGTTTGCGAATCAAAATGCAGATGCGTTATCACCCGTTAGGACTAAGATGCCTCGTTTCCAGTAAAAAGGGTCTCCGGTTCTCTCCATTCACCACACGAAACACAGCAGTGTTAAGCTGCTATTTTAAGCTGGTATTCTATGAGAGCGTGGTCCTTACCCGGTCGAGCCGACCCATTCGTGCTACAACTATACTAATAATATAGCTGTAGCATGGCTCTACCACGTTTGAGCTACACCAAGATTCAAAAATTCCTACAAACTTTGTAAATTCTACAACAAATAAATACAGTTACTAAAATTCTAGATTTGAAAGAAAATTTATGGCTAGATTACCCTAGATCGTATTACATAACTATATTAACCTGTTTGTTCTCTGAGTGTACTAGAACCATCTGTTGTCTCAACTGTTGGAGGCACAGATTGAAGTACATGATACGAATTTTCTTCATTTTCTTCAAGAACTAAAACAATAAAATTAAAATTAAATGCAGGTAGCACTAAGTTGCTCCAATATCTACCACGAGACCGCGCTAAATAACACCCCAGTACCTTTTTGTTGATAGTACAAGTTTGTACACTATACACCTGACAAAATTGGGTTTAATCCTTCAATTTAATCAAAAAAAAAACCTCTACTCTGATATTTAAAATCTTCTAGAATGGTTCCATATTATAATCATCTAGAAAGTTACATTTAATACAAAAAAAAGCAGATAAGTAAGAAACACGTGAGTCGCGCCCGACACCCCGCCCCGCATAAATCGTTTGGAATGTCTTTTAGATTGATTGATCGAAAACGAATTATGAAAGTTGTGTTATGTTTGAATGTCACCTAGTAGTATTTTAAAATAATTAGATGTCTATTAATAAAAACATAAGTATGTACATACCTTGATTGTTTTGTTTGTATAGATCAAAAACCGCCGCAACCATCTTCTGTCCTCGCGATAAATTCATGATAATAATATTAACCACACACTGAATACTGATAAAATAATATATATATTTATATTATATGCACATCAATTGCTAGAAATCATAATGAACTCTCAATTATTTAAGTAGTTTATATTATTAATATAATAGATCATTATTGTTATTTTGCACAAATCACCGACTCACTATCAAAGCAAACTAAACAATGCACGCACAAACTCGTAGAAATACAGAATGTGGATTGGTTAACAGGAATAAACATGATTTTTCTCTGCCAATTAAAATGTTCCCAAATAAAATCGGGATTGGATAAAAAATGACATAACATACATAGATATTATGAAGACATAATTTTGGTGGTCAAGAGTTCTATGAGCTCTTACAACTATTGACCACTGAATTATTACTTTAACTATGACTTGTAACCTTGTCATCACAATAAATCTAAGCGGCATAGAATTTTTGACTCTTATTGAAACTACACTTAAATTTATTGGCAATTTAAAAAAAACCTGCTTACAGTTATGATATCAGTTACATGTATTGACTAATATAAACTATGGTTCTTTCTCAGTACGTTAATGCACTTAACTCCATTTCGCAAAAATTGTGGGTTAGCTCCATTGCCCTCCAAGGCGACGATTTTTGTTTAGAAAAAATCACATACCTCTTTTGCTTTTAGAATACATTTCTGCAACAGAATGTAAGATGTCTGGTTGATGTTCAGCAGCTGGTGGTTGATCATTGTATACTAAGGAGATTATATTTTTATCCTGTAATATAAAAATAAATAAAAAACTGTAAAGTAACTAATATAATAGAAAACTTTATTAAAACACCTTAATATTTCATCATAATAATTAGTCATAAATGAATCACTAATAAAAATTAATAAATTTACAGATTCTTTGTCTTACTTGGTACAATGGCATCAAAGTCTTTCCAACCATAGAACGAGGATCACTTATAGCCAAATCAGACATAATCCAGCCCCCTCTAAGCTTAGATGGTGTGAGATACATGTAAGCTACTCCTCTACGTACCAAGGGGTTCAAATGGTTTTTCTCCCGTGGCAATTTGTAAACATAGAACCTATGGTCAAGGAAAGTTATAGAATCTATATTCAAAGCTGTCTAATAATTATCTAACAACAACATTTTAAGTATTTATATATAAGTATATTCAATAATTAAATTTATAAACAAAAGGCTTGAGAAAATTTGCTTGCACACTTGAAGTGCATCATTCATTTAACTTAAAGCTTAACCCATTAATTAAAATTATTAATAATTCATTAAAGAAACTGACAAATCGAATTATTAACTTACCAGTCTACAGGTTCTCCTCTTTCATTTCTACACTGAGGTGTTAAACAAAGGCACTCATTTAAAATTAACGAGAATACCACCAGCAACGTGAAGTTGTGCATCGCGAAACGTGTTTACTTCATGAAAGACTCCAGCGAAGTAATAAGAGACTCAGGAAGTTCGCTTTGGAGTTGTTTATGATGTCATGCAAATTAACCATAGAATGTATACAAAGGCAGCAAACAATAATTTGTTTATAAAACATTGTCAAATTGTTTCCTTTCGCATATACAAATTGATGAGTTGAATCGCCCCGAAAATTGCTGATGAATGGAGACATCGTTTGTTTTTGTTTTATTGATAAATGTTAACTTTGTTTTGCTTTGTTTACCAAATAAAATTCTAACCTAACTGTATTACTGTATCTCTGTATCTGAATCTGAAGTAGTTTGTCAATGTCAATGTCAATGTTTCAACTAAAAAGTTCTGAAATAGATTAACGTTTAGCCTCAACTGGTAGCTGTTGGTTTTAAATTATTAGTTAACTATTAACTAGAGTCTACTGTACTTAACTATTTATTTTAAGAGCTAATTATAGTTCAAAATTTCTAAATCGAACTTCGATTATCGAAGACTAATTTATCATTACGACTGATCTGGTGTAAATACTAGGTACAATAAAATTTTAATTTTTATAATCACGTAACCACTATCATAAAAATATAACTTGAACGAGATTATGTTAAAAGTAAAAAATTTTGTAAAAAATATTGAATGCCTATTTACTCCAAAAAGTTATGAAACTCGTAAAGGTTTAATACACATGTCAGTAATATATAATGTATTCTGTGAAAATTGAAATTGACACAATATACACACATTAAGATACAAAGCCCACAAACTGATGATTAGGAAATATTCTTACTTCGAATTCTACTATTTTAAAAATCTGATAGGTACTTGTGAAAAAAAAAGCTTGTAAAATACTTAATTATTAAAATGTGGTTTTAGTGGTTAAAAGTAAGAAAATAGACTTATAACGTCTCACTCCTGGGCACAGGCCTTATAAAATTTTTGTCATTTCACCATTCAGGACGACATAATATATATTTTCAGACTGATACCTAGAACCGATGGGGAGAAAAGGTTTTCGAGTGGTAGCTTCGTACCGGTAAGCGAAAAAAGTGCAGGGCGGCCCCCATTAGATGGAGTGACGACCTGCTATGGGATGCAAGTGGCTCAGGACCATGCTTTGTGATAGTCCTTGGGGCCATTGTACAACAGCAGACTTGTGATGGGCTGTAATGTATATGATGATGATCTCAATAGCTTATTTTATTAAGTATCCCAAGTACTTCTAAAAAGCATTTCTTCACAATTCGTAGACTTAATTTTCTGTTTTTTTTTTAAAAGTAAAATAAGTAAAGTTCCAGTTCTGAGAGAATTATGGATCAATTAATCTGCCGTGCTGCTCCTGTACGTTTATTTATAAAACTGATGAACACACAGTCCACCTAATTGTATGTGGCTACTGCAGACCATGGACACATGCAACCAGCTTCAAACGAAGGAGTCTACCGATACATTATCACTACTGAGGACTAAGATAAAATGCCTCACAACCTGTAACTATACTGGCTCTCTATATCCTTCACACCGGAAACAGCAATGCAGGAACTGATATTTGGCACCAGAAATAAATAAAAGAGTGTTTGCACATATCCATACGGATTTATAGGCAGAAAAGAAGTCCTTTCACCTAAGAGATTTGTTGCAGACGTTTAAGCGCACTTCACATGTGTATGTGCCACACAGACTTCCTCACGATCATTCCTGTATAGGTCAGTTACTATACTCTTTGCTCGCGATGTTTTCCGTGGTAAATATTGTATATTTTATAATAAGTAAATAAATGTATTAACTCGAAAAATATCAGCATTTAAATTTGCAATTACCAATCTTATTAGTATCAGCGGTAATAGAACCCGTGTTGCTCACATACTGTGAAATTAATCAACTATTTGGTAATTAAAAGGCAACGGTTAAAAACTCGGCGGCGGCCAGTCAAAACCACAAGACCACGCTCTTAGCAAAAGTATGATACTTTGTGCAAGAATATGCTAATGTGTGGTGTGGGAGTTTTACAATCAGATAACAGACAAACCTTATAAAGGACTGTAAGGTTGTAACGAGAATGGATCGGCTCAACCGGGGTAGGACCACGCTTTCGCAGAATACCAGCGTAAAATAGCAGTTGAATGTTCCTGAGTGTAAAGAACCGGAGACTCTTTTTACTGGAAACGAGGCATTCCATGTTAGTCCTCAGGGGTGACATCGAACTTGCATTTTGATTCTTAACCGAAGATAAATGTAGAGTCTATGGGCCACAGTATCCACTTACCATCAGGTGGACTGTGACTGGACTTTTTCTATAAAAAAAGGTATGAACATGTGACCGGTGGAAGAAAAAGGGGAGATCTCCCGCCGGGTATGGTGTTCTGCCCGGGGAGCGGCCAACGCTCCGAGTGGTAGTTCGGAACTATTCTATATATACTGGGTTTACTTCGGAACTTTTGATAGCGTGATTTAGGGTTCGATGTGTTTCGCTTATGACGCGACGACAGCGCCGCCACATCACTCCCCTGCTCAGAACGGAGGTAGATAGTGCTGTCGGATTGCCCGTGCGTCCTTAATGCCGGTGGGGAATGCGTGCTGTGTGCGTAAGGGCAAGTGACGCCGGGGTGCACGATATGCCGGTGTGTAATGCATGCCATACTACGCACTTGCAAGTGATGCCGGTGAGAACGATGAGTCGGAGCAAGTGCCAGGGATTGCTTTGTAGTCTGCGGTGTGCGATGAGTCGAGGAGAAGGCAAGTAATCTGCGAGAGTGCCGTGAAGCAGAGGCGAGCAGTAAGGTTCAGAGCCGTGCCGAACACTGTAACGCAGAGAGTAGCTTGAAGGAACAGGAAGCATTATTATTCTAGTACTACGATGAACCTTTGTAAAGCTAGATGGCTTGCAGAATGCGAAGACTGCAAACAATATCTGCTCGGAAGCGAACGAATGGGGTACTTGAGGACGATGACGAAGGTTGTTTGGTTGCGTGTACATATCACGTCTGATGGTCACCACCGTGGCCGGTGTAAGGAAAAGGGGAGATCTCCTGCCGGGCAAGGTGTTCTGCCCGGGGAGCGGCCAACGCTCGGAGTTCGGACGCTCGACGCTCGGAGTTGGTAGTTCGGAGCTATTCTATATATATACTGGTTTTACTTCGGAACTTTTGATAGCACGATTTAGGCTTCGATGTGTTTCGCTTGTGGCGCGACGACAGCGCCGCCACAAACACATTTGTTTAGCAATTCATCATCAATTAATGAAACGAAATTAACGCGTTTATTCCGACGTTTAGGGTGCTTTAAACCACCCACAGGTCGGACTGAGGTGTTTTACATCCTAATGTCATAGTTAATCCGGATCACTATCAGATTTTGAATATTAATTTTTCGTTTTAGTCCGATCTACGCAGAACGAGATTACAAATATCATGGTATTTATCGCATTTAAATATATATGATAAGTTGATAGCTAATATATCAAGGATCATTTAGATCCTGCACATTTTTCTTGCACCTTGTACGGTTTTCTTTAAAACTGGAAAAAACCCGGGAGGGGAGGGAGAGTAGATAAAATTTTAACTTTGCTCTATAATGTACATATGCCGATATATAAAAGTACTTACTATACAATTTATTTTGCCAATTTTTTAACTCAAATAAATTTTAAGTGTAGCATAGCAACATTTTTTTTATAGAATATGGGTAACAAACGAGCACACAGTCCACCTGTTGGTAAGTGGTTGCTGTGACCCATAGACATCTACATTTATCCTCAATAAAGAATCAAAATGCAGATGCGTCGTTACTCGTGAGGACTAAGATGGAATGCCTCTTTACCAGTAAAATGGGTCTCAGGTTCTCTACACTCACCATACGAAACACAGCAGTGTCAAGCTGCCATTTTACGCTGGTATTCTGTGAGAGCGTGGTCCTTCCCCGGTCGAGCCGACCCATTCGTGCTACAACTATACTACTAATATAGCTGCAGCATGGCTCTACCACGTACAAAAACTTAACAGAAAAACTAGGTTAAAACTAGTTTAGAAATAAATTATACCTGTTTTAAAAGAACATATTTTACTCTTTACTTTAGTCATACATATCTAGGCGGTAAAGTAGGACATTTTTGAGAAAACAAATCTATCTAATCTATCTACACACTTTTCATGTACCTTGTACGGTTTTCTTTGAAACTAAAAGAACCCTGCTTCGGGACACTTTATTCGGCGCGGGAGGGCGGCGACGCTCACCTGGGAGGGGGAGGGAGAGTGGATAAAGTTTAATTTCGCTCTATAACGTACACATGCCGATAAATAAAAGTACTCCATTAATTTTGTTAATTTTTCCATACATTGTAATCTAGAATGCTTGAACTATTTGCTTCATAGTACTTTCGGAAATGAAAGGCGGGTTCATACAGTATTTACTTATAAATACTCTAAGGGCAGGTTGTGTCTAGAAGTAAATATAGTCGATCACGAAATAAAAATAATAAAAACTGTATCAACCTGGTGCATCAAAATATACAAGGTATGTTAGGCAAAGAATTAGAAATTGAATTATTTTTAAATAGTAACAGTATAAATATTTTATGTATTACAGAACATTGGTTGAAAGAATACAACTCCATATTTAATTTCAGTAATCACCAGGTGGTCAGTTCGTTCAATAGAGATACTAAATTACGTGGTGGCTCCTTAATATTAGCTAATAAGTCCTTATCATGTAAAGAACGTAAAGACATTGTGAGCCTCTCTGTTGAGCGTACTGTAGAAATGGCATGTGTTGAGCTTGAGCACCTTATTGTTGTCAGTGTTTACAGACCCCCATGTTCAAGTTATGATACTTTTGAAAAAATTATGGAAGAAGTTTTAGTTAAGCTTAATAAACAGAATAAATCTCTTGTAGTGTGTGGAGACTTTAATATCAATCTCCTGGAAACTTCTTCCATCAGTATTAAATTCTGTTCTTTGTTCAAATCCTATAATCTTAATAATTTATTCTT